ATCTGATATGTCACAATAAAAAGAAAAAAAACAAGTGCAGTTGGAGATGTAACTTAGTGGTAGGACACATGCTTAGTAGCATTCATAGGACCTTGGGTTTAATCCCATGTAAAACACACACACACAATAAAGGAAATAATTATGGTTCTAAACCAATTCATCTCCCTCCACTTTTCGAACATATTCTCCAGTTCAGCATTCATACAGTTAGCAGTTGATACAAAAACAACAAAAAACTTGACTTTTACAGGAAGGTACAGGATGCTGTCATCAAGCTCTTCAGGTTACAAAAATCCCAAGGCAGATGCACATATATTCAATATTATCTAAACTCAAAGGAATTTACAAAGAGAAAGACTCAAGGGTGTCTATCCCTAGTTTTGAGTATTAATGTGGAAATGGAAGAAGAAACTTTGAAAGTCAGGGCTTTTTGACTCAAATTCTGTTAAGGAACTCAAGAGTGATAATCCCTGAGATAGAGAACAAGCTCTTTTGGGTCTACAAGACACAGGAGCAGAGTCCTATCTAGGCCTGCTAATGAGTTTCTTAGGAAGGACAAACTAACTCAGGGATATAAAGATACTGCTGTGAAAGGAATAAAAATTGAAATTGGGTTAAGTGAATGGTGGTATATCTCCCTTTTGTGGATATGTGGCTGATAAGCATGTAACGTTGGAATGAAAATCCACTGCACTATTAAAAAAAGATGCATAATCAGACTCTTCCTTCTTCCAGTACTCACTGGAATTAACTAAGCCAACCCAAACAGTAAGTATGAAAAATATGAAAATACATTTTAATTAGTAACTGTTCTTTGTATGAAGAAGAAAAGGAGGAGTAGGAAAGAAAGGAGAGAGGGAGGGAGGGAGGGAAGTAGGGAACTGCTCTTTAGAAACCTCTATGGCATTGTGGAGGGCTGCTCACAAAAGAAATTCTCTGTCAGGAGGCGCCAGCAGACTGGAACCAACAAATCCATGGTTCATCTGATTTCTTGACATGGCAACTAAGGCCTATGATATCAGTGAAGGACAGATATCAGTAATGTGTTGTTTAGTGACATCTCGCACTGGGACCCACCAAAGTGTTGATAAAAATTGTTCTGGTGGCCAAAAGCAGAATCCCATTTTTTCTGCAAGTAAACAATCTGTACAATGATAGAAGTGGAGCAGCATGATAATAAAACTAGAACATCCACTTCAGTGGAGAACTCTGGGTTACAAATGTATATCTGATTGTAGCAATCCATTTCACTATGCATATTTTCATCAGAATCAAAGTTACAGGATTCAATTACTGCTGCCCCCCCCAACAGGGTTTCTCTGTGTAGGCCTGGCTGTCCTAGAACTCACTCTGTAGACCAGGCTGGCCTCAAACTCAAGAGATGCACCTGCCTCTACCTTCTGAGTGCTAAGATTAAAGGCATGTGCCACCAGCACCCTGCACTCCATTCAATTCTAACTAAAAATAAGATAAGAACCAGTGAGATGCCAGTGGGTAAAGGTGCTTGAAATGCAATCTTTTGAATCCATGTAAAAGTGGAGAGAACCAATGCCATAAACTGTCATATGACCCCCCCAAACATATTACAGCATGTACACATAACAATATAAAGATAATTAAGGGTCTCATTTATAATTGATTGCCTGAAAGTACCTATCACAAAAGACTATCAGAACCACAACCTTTCAAAAGGGAAATGCAACCTCAAACAAAAAATACTTGTGCAAAAATGTGTCTATTTAACCTTAGATTTGTACCAACCTTGTTAGTCATTCTTGTAAACAAGGATTATTGCTTCAAAATATTATGCAATCTTCACTTTTGCCTTTAAAAACTTTCCCTTGCCAAAACCTTTAGTGTTGTGGAATATTATTTTAAGTATGTAAAGATGTGCTACATTTGTTTATATTGTGGAATATTGCTGTAACTCGGTGAGGGTGTTATATTTGTTTATGCTGCCTTTGTTTAACTATGTAAAAATGTGTTGCTGTTTTACCTTGCCTGCCTAAGGAAACTAAGTGGTCTAATAAAAAGCTGAACAGCCAATAGCTAGGCAGGAGAGAGATAAGCAGGGCAGGTGGGCAGAGAGAATAAGTAGGAGAAATCTAAGCTGGAGAGAGAGAAAGAGAAAGAGAAAGAGAGGGACAAGCCTGTGGCTAGAAGTCAGGCAGTAACCAGTCAGCCAGACATAGAGACAGAGGGGGTGAAGAGAGTGGGGGGGGGGAGAGAGAGAGAGAGAGACAGAGACAGAGACAAAGGTAAAAAGCTCCAAGCCAAAACACTGATGAAGAGAAACAGGATAAATTAAGTTTTAAGAGCTAGCAAGAAACAACCATAAGATAAGGCTGAGCAGTCATAGTAAGAAGTCTCTGTGTCATGACTTGAAGCTGGTGGCCCAAAAGAAAGCTTGTTACACTCTGATATACTCACAGATTGCACATCTCTGTTATGTGCTATTCTCAAATAACTAATGCTGCTCTTTGCAAACTGACAAATATGTTACCAACTGTCTGTACAGGTTAAATATAGACAATAAAGGCCAGTGATATGACTCAGTGTGTGAAGTTGCTTGCCATTAAGCCTATGGACCTGAGTTTATGCCACACAACCCACATGGTAGAAGAAAAAAACAAATCTTACCAGTTGTCCTTTGATCTCCTCATGGTATGTATGCCCTCTCAATAAGTAAGTGTTGAAAATAAAAGTAAACTCAGTAATAATAAAAAAGAAAGAAAGGAAGGAAGGCAAGATCGTTGCTGTGGTGATGGGAACAATCAATGGGTGCTACAAAAGCCCAAGAGATACTTTGTGTGAAGAGATGCTTACTGCATTAGAGCACTGTACTTTCTGGCTGTGACTCAGAAGCTCTTCTGGGGCAAGGACTTACAAACCCCTCTTCTACCCAATAGTCATAAGTGAGCATTAGCAAGCCATTGACCTAACAAATATTTAGGAAGAGATAGGCACGCAAGATTTGGCTATATGCAAAAGTACAAATGAGACTGTATTTTTTGTATTTATGACTAGTTTCTTAGGATGGACCTATATTGGGAAGCAACAGGTGGGAATACTTGAAAAACATATTAACAATAATGTGAATAAATACCATATAGCCAGTCATTAATTGTGATTTAGATAAAAGTCCTAAGAATATGATGGCAAAAAAGTTACAGCTGTGTGTGTTCACACAGGCCTTTAGTCCCAGCACTCAGGAAGCAAAGGGAGGTGAATTTCAGTCCAAGGGTAGCCTGGTTTACAGTTCAAGTTGCAGGCCAGAGCCATACACAGAGAAATATTGTCTCAAAAACAAAACAAAACAAAACAAAACCCAAAAAGTTATTCACTGCTCTCCCCCTCTCTTATGATGTGTAAAATAGCTATTTGCTTTGTTATTGCAGAAGAACAGACATAAGAGGAACAGTCAGATAACTTAGCTCACTGGCAAAGAAAAGAACTATAAGGTACAATTTGGTAGGCTTTTTCTTTTCTTTTCTTTTCTTTTTTTTTTTTTTTTGAGATAAGTTCTCACCATGCAACCCTGCTGGCCTGGAGTTTGCTATGCAGACCTGGCAGATTTCAAACTCACAGAGATCTCTTGAGTGTTACCTCTGTGTCTTGAAGGCAAGTATTCTTAATAGTTCAAAAGCCCATAATGGATGGTCAGGGAGACTGTTGTGCTACAACTAATCAGTGTAACTGAGTGTTACCATCACTCCATGACCTAAGTGGAGTGAACTCACCCTCCCTCCCTCCCTTTCCCTCTCTTGAAACAGTATTTCTCTGTCTAACAGCCCTAGCTGTCCTGGAACTCACTCTGTAGACCAGGCTGGCCTCAAACTCACAGAGATCCACCTGCTTCTGCCTCCTGAGGACAAGGATCAAAGGTGTGTGCCACCACTGCCTAACTGGCCAGATAGATATTTTTCTATTGTTCCCTGGCCTCTCTTCCTGTTTAACATTTATTTATTTATTTAGATTTTGATTTTTCAGAGACAGAGTTTCTCTCTGTGTAGCCCTGGCTGTCCTGGAACTCACTCTGTAGACCAGGCTGGCCTCAAACTCAGAGATCCACCTGCCTCTGCTTCCAAAGTGCTGGGATTAAAGAGCACTTGTTGCTTTTACAGAGTACCCACTAATGATCCTCGGAATCCAAAGGCAACTTACAACATCTGTAACTCCAGTCCCAGGTTATCCCCATCTTCTCACTTCTTTGGGCATTGCATGCACATGGTGCACAGACATACATGCAGGAAAAACATCCATACACTCAAAATAATAATAGATTTATTGAAATTTAACTTTTTGTGTTTATATATGTGCACATGTATGTGAGGTGATTGGGCTGTGCTGTGTGAAGGTAAAAACAAGGCATTGGATCCCTCAGAGCTGGAATCTTAACTCTTGAGTTATCTCTCTGTCTTTTTTTTCCTTCTATTTTATCTTAAGAGATAAAGCCTTGTGAGTTAGAGGCCAGGCTGGACTGACAGCCTCCAAAACAATACAGAGGAACCCTGTCTCGTAAAACAAAACAAAACAAAACAAAACAAAAACAAAACAAAACAAAAAAAAGAGATAAAGTCTTGACTGGGCAGCAGACGCAGGTGGATCCCTAAATTCAAAGCCAGCCTGGTCTACACAGTTCCAGGACAGCCAGGGCTACACAGAGAGAGATCCTGTCTTGGAAACAAAACACCAAGCAGAAGTAGGTTAGTAAACACCATCATTGGGCATCCTGGGCTTTCTTTAGCAATCAAAACTGTCTAAGTTTTTGTTTCAAAGAGAAATTAACATCAATGAATATCAATCTTCAATGAGGCAGATTTATTTTGCCTTGCAAGGCATTGAGCAAGTCTTGATATATTCACTAAACATATAGCAGAAGTTGGGTAGATTGGACCTATGAGGTCACTACAATGGGCATATGACCTTCATAAGCCTCCCAAACATGAAGGCCTGAGTTTTGTGATCTGATAAAGGAATAGTTTCAATAGTAGCCATACCTCTGACGTCAGTTTCCCAGCAATCTGCATTCTCTTAATCTCTGCAGGAGATTTAACTAGCCGGAGGCGCTGTATCAGCTGCTGGACACTCCGAACCTTGTTCTTGCTCCTGGCTTTGGCTTCAGTCAGATGGTGCATGTAGTCAGAGTGAAGCTGTGCATGAGAAGGCTTCATCCAGTCATACCAAACCATGCTCGTCTCAGCTTAAAAAGGAAAGCCAAAAATAAGTTTATAACCAGCAGAGGTTGAAGGTATACCTTAGTGGGAGAATGTGTGCTTAGCACTAATAAGGCCTCTGGCTCAGTCTCCAGCACCAAGCAGTAATATACAATAAACTAACACTGGCCTGGGTATGACGTTGTATTACTGTAGTAACAGCACGGTGAGGTGGAAGCCAGAGAACCAGGGTTAAAGTCAGTGCACACCTTTAATCCAAGCACTCCTGGGGACAGAGACAGGTGATCTCTGTGAATTAAAGAAAAGCCTGGTCTATAAAGTGGGTTCCAGGACAGACAAAGCTATACACAGAAGCCCTGTCTTAAAAACAAAACAAAAACCAAACAACAAAAAGTGCACTGGGAAACAACAGGGAAGAATCGAGGAAATTCTGACTGGTTTACATTATGTTGCAGGCCAAACATTTTTTTAAATTATTTTTTTATTTAGGTTAGATACAATCTTGTTTCACATGTCAATCCCAGCTCCCTCTCCCTCCCCTCCTCCCCGACCCTCCCTACCAGGTCCCCCAGTCCCTCAACCAATCTCCAATCTGATCCCCAAGGAGGGTGAGGCACTCCATAGTGGATCTCCAGTAACTGTCATTTCATCCAGTGCAAGGCCTAGGCCCTCCCCCACAGGCCAAACATTTTAAAAATAAAAATGCCATTAAATGTATACTGCATGGGAAGTACTTAAGTATAATAGTATTTGCCTCAATTAATGAAAATTAAAGCATCTCTATTACTTATTTTCAGTGTATAAAGTCAAAGCTCAACATTTACTGGGTTGGTTTTCTATGACAGTGATGAGGTTAGAACCTGAGATCAGGTACATGCTGAGCAAGTGATGTACTATTAAGATATAACTTCAGTGCAGTTTCTTTAAAACCTGTAAATACATTTATTAGATTCATCAATCAATACTTTTGGTACCTGATACTTTCTTTTACATATCAAACTACTAACACTAAGAGTAGTAGATTAGTTGGGCATGACAGCACAAGCCTTTAATGCCAGAGATAGGCAGATCTCTGTGAGCTCCAGGACAGATAGGCCTATGTAGAACCCTGTCTTCAAAAAAAAAAAAAAAAAAAAAAAAGAAGGTCCCAGGATAGCCGGAATTGTTTACACAGAGAAATCCTGTCTTGAAAAACCAACAAAACCAACCAACCAACCAACCACAGCAAACCTTTCAGAGATCCCCATGTCTCAGTTCCCCTGAGTGTTAGGATACAATATATGCCACCACATTTAGCAATAGTTTTGTTTTTTACAAAAGACATGTCTCTTTTCATGATGCCCAAAGAAAAGCTACCAGGAGAATTATTTTAGAAAATGAAGAACTACAGGCCAAGGAAGATCCAGATTCTAACTTGGCCTGTGATTTGATTTGCTAGCATTACCTTTCAGTTTAGGTAGTAGGTGCTGAAATTCTTCCAGGGTGTAGGCTTCATCCACCCCAGTTAGGGCTATTGCTCCATCCGTGCCAGACCGAGGACCATCCCACAGTTCTCGACCAGGGTCTCTTCGAGGCACAAAAAGCATGGCCTTATGGGATGGTAACTGCTTCCCAGAGCAACTCTGAAGAACCAGAATGCTATCAGGCTCTTGGAATCCACAGAGATACAGGAAATTGTTGTCTTGGTGGAACGTGTAGGGGATGTCATTGCTCATGTAGTACGTAGGGTTAGAGAGTACCACCACTGTGTGGTCTGCTCCACTGTGCCCCTGTGCTTCCTTGTGGATCAGATCCATCAATTTGTGTCTTCGAAGTGCATATTCCACTTGAGATAGTCCTGGTGTCACCTCCCCTAGAAATGGCAAAAAAAAAAAAAAAAAAAAAAAAAGTTACTTGATGCTTTGAATGGCAACACTGTCACAGTACTTAAAATTGTTACTATCAGATGGAATATCTATGATTACTTCTTGTTGAGAGAAGCCTTTTCCTTGCCAGTTGCCAGCGGCTTGGTTTTTCACCCGCCAGTTGCCTGAGCTCTGCCGCGTTGTAGTCCCCAAATAAACACACAGGAGGCTATATTAATTATGAAGCTGCTGTCCTTGCTTGTTTCTTACTGGCTAGCTCTGACTTAAGTATTTATCCCATAATTGTTAACCTAAGTATTTCTCTTACTGGAGAGGTTTCCAGGCTTCTTATCCCTATGTTTCTCCTACCCAGAGTCCTCCCTGAACTCCTAGTCCCACCTATGTTGCTTCCCTATTGGCCAACAGTGCTTTATTGACATATACACAGGACTTCCCCCATCAACTTCTTTAATTGATGACACAGCACACAAAGAATTAAGATAATCTAGGTTTTTATTTTGCTGCAAATTATAGCAAATGTAACTACATTTGAAAAATTCTAATTATGACCCTGTAAGGTTTTGTATAGATCTTTGGTTCCTTCTTTTATTCATCTAATCAGGTGTTTATCAAGCACTATTTAAAAAATGTTTAGTTTTATGTGTATGGGTGTTTGCTTGCATATATGGTCTGTGGAGCACATGTGTGCTGGTCCCCTCAAGAGGCCAGAAGAAAGTGTTAGATACCCTGGAATTATAATCACAGATGTTGTGAGCCACCATGTGGATGCTGGAAACCACACCAGGATCTTCTGCAATTGCAGCCAGTGCTCTTAATGGCCAAGACGCCTCTTCAGCTTCTTATAGAACGTTATACGTGCTAGGATATAGTCAACATTTCCCTGAAATTTCAATGTTAAATACATACTGAAATACTAAATATTCTGGTACAGAATAATTAGAATATAGTATACTCTTGATAAGTGTTTGCTAATAATATGTAGTTTTTACTATAATATTGGATAAGGGGTTAGGGATTTAGCTCAGTGGTAGAGCACTTGCCTAGCAAGCGCAAGGCCCTGGGTTCGGTCCTCAGCTCTGGAAAAAAAAAAGACAAAATAAGAACTGTCCCTTTTATCTTTTACTTATGGTGAGCTAGGCAAACCTACTAAAAGTCAAGATAATGCTCTCCCATGTTGAGGCTGTTGTGACAATCAAATAAAGCATGTAGTTCTATTTTTTCCTTCAAGTTTTAAATTACATTCATTTATTCATTCATTAGCTTACTTGTGTGAGTGTGGCCATGCACATGCCACAATGTGCACATAGAGTTTGGAGGATAATCTGCAGAGTCAGGCCTTTCCTTCTTCCATGCTGCTCCTAGAGACTGAGTTTGGGTTGTAAGGCTTGGCACCAATTGGCTTAACCCACTGAGACATCTTGCCAGCACTAAACAAAGCATGTGATCATGTGATCCTTTTCTCTTTTAGATTGTATTATTTATTTTATTTTGAGACAGGGTTTCTCTGTGTAGCTCTGGCTGTCCTGGAGTTTGCTCTGTAGACAAGGCTGGTCTTGTATTCAGAGATCTGTCTTATGAGTGCTGGGATTAAAGGTAAAGGCATGCGCAGCTGCCACCACTACCAGGCTTATGTTATTTCTTTTGAAAGAGCGTTTTGCCTGCATGTATGTATGTATGTATGTAGTATGTGGACCATGCATGTGTCTGGTACCCATAGAGGACAGAGAGCATCAGATACTAGAATTATGGATTGTTGTAAGCTTCCATCTAGGTCCCCCATACACATGGTTCTTAAGGATCAAACCCTAAGGAAACTTTATTCTCTTCACTAAACTACATGTGGGTACAAACAGACTTTTGAGGCTAGATTATTTTCCCTCCCTCCCTTCCTCAAACAAAAAGGTACTAGTTAGTAAAAAAGCTCTGCGATAAAGGATTATGAGTTGATGACTCAATGAATCTTTAGGATATGGAAATTGCTTGCTTTTATTTTAGGTTCCAAAGTAAAAAAACTAATAAAGTAATCATTTAGGGGCTGAAGAGATGGCTCAGTGGTCAAGAATGCTCACTGTCTGTTTCCAGCTCTTATGTCTGGTGGCTCATGACTGCCTAGAACTCCAGTTCAAGGGGCTCTAATGCCTCTGACCTCCAAATATGAACTCATGTGCACATAGCCACACAATTAAAGAAAATGTAAAAATTAAAAAGACTAATTTGCCAAAGTGTATCCCCTTAGCCTTCACTGCTGTTGCCTACAGCCTCATGTGAGGAAAGAAACACATTCGCCGTCCAAGATCACTTTGCCTCACCACACACAAAGAACAGAGGGAAGTGACTTGCATACAGCCATTTCCATCTCCAGGAAGCTGGAAGGTGCTACTTCACAAGACTAGCTAACGTTCCTGTACGTTCCTGCCCACTTCCTCTCTTTGTTCTACTAGGTGATCTATTAATCAGAGGCTCCCATTGCTTGTGACACGGTTAAAAGCACGCTGCAAGAGGCTCTGGGTCTTTACATTCTCCCATGCTCTTTGGCTTCCCAGCCCTCCTGCTGAATTCACACTTCAGACTCCCAGTCTCAGTTCATGGCCTGAGCTCTGCCTTTTGCAGCAGCTTTCCAATAATACAAACAGCTGTTGTTTTCTGAGTGTTCACTACATGCAGAGTACTAACCATGGTGTACTGGCCCATTTAATCTGTACAATGACTATGGCACTATTAGTCTCCCTGTAATGGCCAGTGTCCATGTGTAAATATGTCAAGACAACTATGGAAAAGTGCTGTGTGAAAGGGTGCAGAGCAAACCCAGACAGACCTAATTTTAGAGATGAGCTTACTTTCTTCATGATGCTTGCTCTATTGGGAGTGAGATCAGAACACACTGAAAATCTGTATTCAATGTGCTCTTGTGCTATTTGAATTCTAAGAAGTATATACTTTTATAATTTCTTAAGAGAAAAACACAGTCAAAAAGGGAAGCCTTGGGCTGGGTATGGCAGTGCACACCTTTATTAGTATCTGACAGGCAGAGGCAGGGGATCTTTGTGAGTTCTAGGCCAGGCCAGTCTACTGTGAGACTGTATCAGAAAAAAAGAAAAAGATACTGGGGTCAGAGGATGTCTCAAACATGAGAACCTGACTTTAGATCCTCAGTTTCCATGTAAAGAGGCGAGCAAGTTGGTACATGCATAATCACAGTGCTGGACAGAAGTGATAGAAGATCAACTCCAGACCCAGAGATATCCTGTCTAAAGAAACCACCATGGAGAATGCTTAAACAGATGCCTGAAGCGGTCTCTGAGTGTGTGTGCATGTTCTCTAACATCACTGGTGTGAACAGACCCACACTTCCAGGCAATTCTCACACTGGCAGGCATTCATACAACTTCACTTTTTTTCTGCTATGATAAACATCACTGTGTTTACATCCTGGTAATTTCACATTCTATGTACCACTGTTTTTTTCCTGCCTTTGCCATTGTTCCCAGAGCGATAAGCTAAACTACAGGACCTTGGAGTTCTCTTAGTAATCATGTTCAGAATATACAATTTGATTATTTGTGATTACTTTGGAACGGTCTAGTTTACTTACTCGTGTAGAACTAATTGCAGCTGATTCTGCAGTTTGCATTCTATTAACAAAGTATGTTTAGGCCAGGCATGGAGAACAGGTCTTTGATCCTAGCACTTGAGACAGAGATGCAGACAGCATTCTGTGAGTTCAAGGCCAGTCTGGTCTACACAGTAAGTGCTAGGGCAAGTGAGACCCTCCCTGTCTCAAAAAACAAAACAAAAAAACCAAAAATATGAAAAAAGCTTATTTAAAAATATGTATAATAAAAATTTACTTTTTATTGATAAAATTGGTAATAAATAAAAAGGTAATTTAGGACCTACATGCTAGTCTCAATCAATCAAAGCAACAGTGGGCTGAGAAAGATGATGGACCAACTTGACTCCATCTTAAGATTAAAAGCCATCTTGTTACACGGTTAAAATAAGTTCTTGCCTGTTTTCCATAAAACTTGGATTTGACCAGGTCTTGACCCATTTTTTTTTTTTTTTTGGAATTTGACATGTTCCACACTTTACACCCTAACCTCCACCCTGATAAGATGTTCTGCCAGATAATTTTGAAATGCTCTGCCAAGTTCCTTTGTAACCCCAAACCCTCGGAAACACCCTAGCCTTGAAGTTTTCTGGGCTATATAAGTCCCAGTTTTTCCTATGTTCAATGCTATCTTCTCAAACCCCACTTTAGGTAGATATCTCTGTCTGACAAAAAATAAAACTTGTTTATTTTGACCAAAGAATTTGGGTTGATGGTCTTTACCCTGGTTTGGTGGAATTAACAAAGAACCCATCCCCACATCTGCCTCCTTCTGAGACCAAGCTTCTGAGTCTCCTAGAACTCGGGCAGAAATCTCAACTCTACCAGAGCTAATGCTTAATGCTCTGATCTAGTCATGCTAAGTTTGCCATTATTACTCAATATTGGAAGTTTTCTAGTTACCCAAGCAGCAAATGTGTGTGTGTGAGCACGTGCACATGAGGGCAAGCTCCCTGCAGCAGAAAGGTTCTGAGAATGGGCTGCCTTGCAGATATGCTTTCATAAAAGAAGAGACCAATTATAATTTGACCTTCTCATCCTCCTCTTCATCTCTAGAGTAATGGCATTACAGGCAGTTTTCAGACACGCTAGGCAAGCATTCTGCCAACTGAGCTGGGTAGCTCTCAGTCTCACAGCACTGCTTTATGAAATCTAGTTTCCTAAGAAAGATTGTTTGAAAAGTCTTTAAAATATTGGCTATACATTTCCAAGTCTAGTAATTATCTACAGTTTGGAATGGTCATTAGCTAACTGCTTTCAAACTTTCAAAGCAGTAAAGTAGTCTTTCTCTTCATCTGGCGGGGAGAGTGCAAAGCATTTAGGAATGAACTTTGTACTCCATCAGTAAACTTGGTGTCTGCAATGGCCTTTGATCACAGAATCAACAGTCACTCTGTCCTGAATTACTTCAGAGAAAACTGTTATGACTGAGTAGGCATTCTGGCATTTTGTGAAGCTGTAATTATTAAGGATTAAAGTTAGCATTTTATCTTGTGGAATCAAGTAGAGACAAAAGGGCCCTTCTACTAACATTACTCAACCAAAAGACCAGAGGTCACACAATCAATTCTAAGGCTGCAGCCAAGAAGGAAGTGCCTTCAAGACAGTGAGGACTGGGTCTGTTAAGAGAGTAAGAAGAACATTCTTCATGTTTTGCTAGCCAAGCAGAAAAACCAGAAAGAAAAGAACAATAAATACTGGAAATAGATGGAAAGCTGGAGATTTTTGCTGTAATCTAGGTATGTAGTTTAATTATTTCCTGAAACTAATTATACTGATATTTTAAGGTGGTCTATTCTGAAACAAATTATTTAATATTAAGAGTTTTTACTGTATTCAAGGAAGTTTATGAAGTATCAGTCATTTTGTATTTCCTTCATAATGTGAAACACAGGCTTCTGAAAAATGAAATAATACTGTAAGTAGATTTCATTTGTGTATACTGAGTAAAACAAGAGACAGAAAGGGTACTATTATATCACTAATAGGGCAACATCAACTGGCATTATGATCTTGAAACCAGAGGAATGGTTTCCTATGGAAGTGGAGATTACCACAGTAGGTATGAGGGGGCTATCTGAGCACTGAATACGAGTTATTCCTTTTGTGTGTATGTGTGTGTGCGAGCACCCTGAGCACATGTGGAGGTCAGAGGTCAACTCTGGGTTTGTCTTTACCTGACATCTCGTGTAAGACAGGGTCTTGTTTGCTGTTACATGTCATAGGCTAGCTGGCCATGAGCTGTAGCAACACTGAGATATAGTGCAGTATGGCATCTGGAGTTTTCAAGTGTTCAAGGGATTTAATCTTGGGCCGTCTGCTGTGCATCAAGCACTTTACCCACTGAGTCATCCTCCGCACCTCCTTTTGATTTTTCAGATACGTTTCATCTAACCAGGTTGGCGGCCTCAAACTTACCGTGAAGTTGAAGATCTTGAACTACTGATCCTCCTGAGTACAAATTTTAAAAGATAATAACATGTTCTATGTATCAACCAAGTTTTTAGGTTATATTTATAGCCATCTTTGACAAAACTTACTCAACTGCAGATCTGTTTAACTCACTGAACATAAATTTTATCTAATTAAAAACATACACCACTTTCTAAATTTTCATATTAAGGGAGACTTCTTTCAGGACTGGGGATAGAGTTCAGCACAGAATGTTTCCTTAGCATGAAAAAGGCCCTGAGTTTGTTCCACAGTATATACTGCCCAAACAAAAGCAGCAACAACAAAAACACACGAAATTAACCATCAGCCCCAAACTGAGTTGTATTTCTTCTTATGTAGCATGTGAGACTGAAATTATGTTTCGGTTAGTACTCTCTGTCTTTAGTGTTATGCACTAGTGTGTGGTTAAGAATACGGGCTGGGGGCCAGGTGTTGGTGGCGCACCCCTTTAGTCCCAGCACTCGGGAGGCAGAAGCAGGAGGATCTCTGTGAGTTCGAGGCCAGCCTGGTCTACAAAGTGAGCTCCAGGACAGCCCCAAAAACAATACAGAGAAACCCTGTCTTGAAAAAACCAACCAACCAACCAAACAAACAAACAAAGAATATAGGTGGGGTGCAGCTCAGCGGCAGAGCACTTGTCTCCTATCAGCACGCCTGGTACCAGGTGCCCATGGTCAATGTCTCAACATCACCATGAAAGGAAAAGAAAAGAAGAGGCAAGAGTCTGGTGTGCTGCGTTCCTATTTTAGCAAATCACTCAGTGACTTGGGAAGAGTCCCAGCTTCCTCATCTATAAGACAAATAATAAATAGTATGTACTTCACAAAGTTGTCAAAAAAAATAACCCAAACAAACCCCCAAAAACAAGTTACCAGAACACAACAATAAATACTACATAAGTACTAGCTTCTAATTGGTACCAAAATTAAGAATTTACATTTTCTAGGTGTGTGTATAACACACAAGTGATACCAGCTCCTAGGAGGTTGAGAAAGGAGAAACTTTTGGAGGTCAATCTGGGCCACACACTGAAATACTGTCTCAAAAATGGCAGGCATGTGTGCTTTTGTAATTTCAGAACTCAGAGGCAGCAGCATTTGCAGAGCAGATTCAAAGGCATTTGGCCTATATAAAACCCAAACCAAAATCAAACAAAAATACACTTGAGAGGTTGTTGTCATGGTAATGTAATGGTAGGTAGGACTTTGGAAGAGTAAAAAAGACATGGATAGCCACTGCTCACTTCCAAGTAATTATGTGTACAGAAGTCTCAGGTGTTTGGTTTTCTCATCCAACAGCAGCAAGGCAAGTCAGAAGTGACCATTCAGGGGTGTGTTAGTTTGTTTTTTTGTTTTTGTTTTTTTTTGGGTCAGGTTAACAGAAGTCACAGTCATCTAAAAAGAGAACTTCAATTGAGAAAAAGACTGACCTATGGGGTAGTTTTGATTGCCAGCACCTACAACCATCTGTAACTCCAGTTTCAGGGGATTAGTTGCCCTCTTGTGGCCCCTGAAGGCACTGCACAGATGTGGTGCACAGACATACTAGGGCAAAGTAATACACACTTAAATAAATAATAAAAATAACACCAAATAGTAAAGTTTTAAAACTCAGCCCCAGCTTGCAGTTAAAATATTAAGGTAAACTAAAACTGACAGTCAACATGAATTAAGACATAAAGGTGAAAACTATATATAGTCTATCCATCTACAAAGCTATCAATGTAAAGAACATATTCAGTGTACAGACTTCTTGGATTCAGGGTGTAAAGACTGTTGTTTAGTAGAGAACATATGTATAGTATTTATAAGGTCCTGGGTCTGGTCCCTAACACAAGCAAAACTCTAATTCCAGGGGATCTGATATCCAATGCCCTCTACTGACCTCCATAGACAGCAGGTATGCATGTGGTGTGCGCGTGCGCACACAACACACACACACACACAGGCCAAGTATTCATACACATAACAAGATAAATCTAAAAAAGTAAAAAATAAACAAAACAAAACACCAGATTGAGGTGACACCTGACACCTGTAGTCCTAGCACTTGGGGAGGTGAAATAGGAAAATCATTTATGAGTTCCAGACCAGAGAGGGCTACAAAGAAGATTCTGTCTCAAAGCAAAAGCCATTATTTCCCATTCCACTTTTCTTTCTAACCCTTAAGAATCTTGTGACTTGCTGAAATTTGATAAAGTAGTTCTATGGGGTCTTGGCATATACATTTTCTTTGACAAAAGTTCACTCTGGTTTTAACACATTTGAAATGTTTTTTTGGTTAGTCATTTCTTGTACACAACATTTTAATCTTTTTTTCACTTTCTTTTTGAGACAGGTTCTCATTGTGTAGACCAAGATGACCTTGAACTCACAGAGAACCACCTGTTTCTGCCTTCTGAGTGCTTAGATTACTATACCTGGCTAACATTTAGATCTTTTAAACAGTATTAAGACAGCAGTAGCAGCAGCAAAAACAAAACCAACACATAGAATCCCACCAAGACAATGTCTTTAATTTTCCAGATATTTTATTTTGAGACAGGGTTTCACTATGTAGCTCTAGATGTCCTGGAACTCATTATGTAGACCAGCGTGGCCTTGAACTCACAGAAATCCACTTGCCTCCTGAGTGCTGGGATTAAAGACATGTGCTACTATGCCTGGCCTTTTCAGATTTTCAAAAACATTAATGTGTTCAAATGTTTTGCCTGCATGAAAGCTTGTGTATCATTATTTATTTCTATTTTATGTGTTCGGATGTTTTGCCTGCACGTATGCCTGTGTATCACATGTGTGCTTGGTGCCCTTGGAGTTGAGAAGAGTGAGTCAGACACTCTGGGACTTGAGTTTCAAACAGTTGTGAGCCACCATGTGGGTGCTGAGAATCAAATGCAGATCTCTGCAAGAGCAGCCAGTGCTCTTAACCACTGAACATCTCTGTAGCACATCCCAGATATTGAAGTCTTTTTAAGAATACTATTCTTCTTTAGGGGAGAACTTACTTAAACTACCTGAAAGATGGGTTTGTAACTGACTTAGAAACCTTTAAGGGGAGACAACAGTATTTTTCTGAGGAGTGTGATTATTAGTCACTAAGCGCTCTCTTTTACATCCTATGTGTCATGTGTAGGACTCATTTAACAGGAAAAAAGGATTGACACACTCTGCTAAACTTGTAAGTTGTAGGTATTACTGTTAATGATGTCAAATGTGAGGCCTTTTGGAACAATATTACAGCTGACAAAAAATAAGTTGACCAGTTAGATGCAAGTTTTTATGTAGCTCTGGTTGTGCTGGAGCTTGTTATGTAGACCAGGCTAGCCTCTAACTCACAGAGCACCTCTTCCATCTACCTCTTAAGTGCTAGGATTAAAGGTATGTGCCATCACTACTGGTTAAAACAGAGAAAAAAAAATGTGTGGATGTCTGTGTGTGGGTAAGTGTACATGGTTCATGCTTTAGATACTGTTTCCCTGTAAGATCTGCATGCTTAATGGCATGGCAGATGGTCCCTTTAAATTGTATGATATTCATTATTTTATGTATGCAGGTATGTACGCATGCATGCATGTGCTTGTATGTGCCTATGCTACTGACCTTTGCTCCTAACATAATACTTTGACTGAGTACTGGCATAATACTGACGAGCAGCCACACCCTTCCAAGCATAGGCGTTCATATTACTGTGGGGGAGGCAAACTTTCTGACTCCCACATGTAAACTGTGAATTAGAGGAGAGAATATACAAAGTACGAATTCATTCCCGAAAAACTATTCAAAGTATCCTCCCACCCCCCTCAGTTTTTTCTACAGGATTTCTCTGTGTAGCCCTGCTGTTCTGGAGATTGTAGAGCAGGCAGGCCTTGAACTCACAAAGATCCACCTGCCTCTGCCTCCTGAGTGCTGGGACTAGAGGCGTGTACCACTAGGCTTCTATTTTTCTCTTACTTAAGGAAATTTTCATGTTATATGTGATGGGCATCAAGACTGAATATTGATGTCATGTTTCAAGTTACTTTAATCTTTTTTCAGAATGATATTTAGATCTGTGACAAAGGCAAAAGTAAAAAAAGTTATGTACATAATATAGAGAGCAAAGCAATTTAGACATGAAGTGATTTATCTCCCTATGATTGTGAGGTTTAAGGCCTGGGAAATGCAGCTTACCACATAAAAGTATTTCACCACAAGAAATCAATCATTTCAAAGCTAGTAAATTTAAGCACCAATTCTATCCTTTCTTCTTCTTTTAAACAGAAACTACAGGTGGGTCAGTAGGGTAAAAATGTCTTTAATATCAACTGGACTACTATTATGCTTACCTTACAGCTTTGAAAAACTGATTTCTTGTGTGTTTCAGTGGTGAGCTGCATTTCCTGAGTGTCAGTCAACTTCCCGCAGGAATTCCAGTCTGATGAAGAATCAGCCAAAGGAAGTCCTCACTAAGAGACACACAGGTATCATTCACTGAGTGGAAACAGTGAAAGAGTAACATATTTCTAAAGGGAATTTACATTATTAATACTTGTGCTTTCATAGCAACTTACAGAAATACACATTTATCTTGCCATGGTGGAAGGAATAAGTAATTTTTCTCAAAAATCTGATTTTCTACAAAGCATTTGGTTTTACCCTGCTATCCCATCTCTGGAATGCTATTCATAAACGCACTATTGCCTTCCCTAAACATAAAACAGTTTCAAGTATATTTTTCTTTTTTGGGGGGGTTTGAGACAGGGTTTCTCTGTAGTTTGGAAGCTGTCCTGGAACTTACTCAGTAGACAGGAATGGTCTCAAATTCACAGAGATCCTCCTGTCTCTGTCTCCCAAGGACTGTAATTAAATGTGTATTGCCCCCACCACCAGTTTCAAGTCTTTTTTTTTTTTTCCCCGAGACAGGGTTTCTCTGTATTGTTTTGGAGGCTGTCCTCGAACTCACAGAGATCTGCCTGCCTCTGCCTCCCGAGTGCTGGGACTAAAGGCATGCGCCACCAACGCCCGGCTCAGTTTCAGGTCTTAATCTGAGCAATTGTGATGACACCTGTTCTAGCAGAACTTCTAGAAACAAAAGAAACCCTCAGTCTTTTGCATGACCTTTATCAACTGAGTCAGACACTTATCACAGTGACAAACATCCAGAAATTTTGTTCAACCTACATTGAAGTAATTGTTAAACAAAAATTTCAAATGAACACTAACATTTTAAATAGAAACAAAAGATCAACAGAAAATAGTTCTAGGAACTACGACTTAGATTTTCTGTTTAAAAATTCCTGAAATATGAGGCTAGAGATGGCCAGTGGTTAAAAGCACTGGTTGCTTTTTTAGAGACTCATGTTCAGTCCCCAGCACCAACATGGCAGCTTACAACTACCTCTAACTTCAGTTCTACGGGATACAATGCCCTTTTCTGGCCTCCAAGAGCAACAGGCACATAAGCAGTACACAGGTATACATGAAGGCAAAATATATACTTCTTACTGGTTATTCTGAATTATTGTTTATTGTATTTATTGTTCTAGACTGGATGTCAATATAATAACAGAGCTCCATAGACTCATCTTAATTAAAATAAGATGAAAACTTCAATCCCTCAGGCACATGAACAATACTATTAGTCTATCATCATGACACACAATTAGTGGGAAAAATTTTTAATGCTCAGTATGATTCTAGCCATCTAAACAGAGAGGTGGTTGTTACAGTCAAAGGCCTTACCTGGTCTGAGGAGGTGTGGATGTGTAACTGGGCTGGGCTGGCCTAAGTACCGATTTGGAATCTTTTTCTTCGGCACAGACTGGAGGGAGTACCTTCGATGTAAACATGACATGCATCCTGAAGCAAAAAAAAAAAAAACAAAACAAAAACAAAGGATGCAATGGAATATCTTCACAGCAAGCATACTTGTATCTATTCCTAGCAGTTTGTATCCTTACACAATACATATTAGCATTTCTTTCCACTATGTCTGTGGCTCTTTCTCTATGCCAGAGCCTGTATTGGGCCCTAAGAAACACAGAAAAGATCTTTACTCTCAGAGACTTTAGACCACCACAGTAGAAAGTGCCTTCTACAAACATGCAACACAGTATGAATACATGAATAAGGGGCTATGAGTAGGAAGAGGAGGAATGAGTAAAAGCAAACAAGAGTCAGAAAGGAATTCAGGGGTAGCCAGAGGCCATGTTTTACAATTTGGAAAAACAGAATTAACATTTTACTGAGATTATGTTAGCTATAAGAAAACAAGCACTTGCTATTTCATTTAATCTTGGAATGTCAGTCTGATAAAATAATGTGTGAAAAAATGCTTAGTCACAGCTGACATATATTGCAAGCACGGTTAGCATTAATTTAACCATTTCATTTAGGACACCACTGGAACACATGCTAAGCAAGACATAAGAGTAAAGACTGTTAACCCTTGTAGTCAAAACCAAGAATAGTGGAGATGAGACAAGACAGAACATTACAATACTACACAATAAAGAGCTAGACTCATAAGCACAGCATCTTAAATGAGTATAATCACAAGGAGAGACACATGGAGTCCTTCATAAAAGATATTCTCGAGCCGGGCGTTGGTGGCGCACGCCTTTAATCCCAGCACTTGGGAGGCAGAGGCAGGCGGATCTCTGTAAGTTCGAGACCAGCTTGGACTACCAAGCGAGTTCCAGGACAGCCTCCAAAGCCACAGAGAAACCCTGTCTCGAAAAAAACCAAAAAAAAAAAAAAAAAAAAAAAAAAAGATATTCTCGAGAGATTGCATAAGGTGATGCCGGCTCTCAACAGAAATCACTCAAGTTACTTCCCCTGGGGGGGGGGGTGAAAAGTGATTCATGAACGTCATTACAGCAAGCCACCACCGCTGGGTCTAAATACAAGTTTTAAAACTTCCAGAAAAGCTGGGTGTTGGTGGCACACATTTAATCCCAGCACTCGGGAGGCAGAGGCAGGTGAATCTCTGTGAGTTTGAGCCCAGCCTGGTCTACAGAGTGAGTTCCAGGACAGCATCCAAAACAATACAGAGAAACCCTGTCTCAAAAAACCAAAAACAAACAAACAACAACAAACAAAACAAAACAAACAAACAAAAACTTCCAGAGAAATAACCTTCTCCAGAGCACAGCAGTGTTTGCTCCTTAGAGTTTCTAGAAGGGGAAGGACACATGAGAGGATGGCGAATAGTGTGAACATGCTAACGGGGTGAAAGGAATACAATGGTATGAAGAAAAGGAATAAAATTACAAGTCTGAGGCTGAGCCAGGTGTTGGCAGCACGCCTTTAATCCCAGAACTTGGGAGGCAGAGGCAGGTGGATCTCTGAGTTCGAGGACAGCCAGGGTCACATAGAAAAACCCTGTCTTGGAAAAAACAAAACCAAGCAAACAAAAAAGAAGTCTGAGTTGGGCTATAACAAGGTACAGCACTTAACTTTCACATGCTAGGCTCTGGATCAATCCCCAGCACCGCTAAACAGACAAAACTCTAAGGCCATCTCCTCCTAAGCTGCTTTCTTTTCTTTTCTTTGCTTTTCAGTGATATTTTCATTTATTTTACTTTTAGTAATAATTTTTTTCTTTCCATACATGGTTGGACATATCTTTTGCCTTTAAGATTAGCAGTCACAAAGAAAGGAACAGTGGTTTATTTTTGTAATCAAGGTGACCACACTGCTGAATCTTAAGGCCTCAACAATGCTGCATACCATTTTCACTCAACAGTAAGGCCTTCTGTTTTCTTTCTGGTAAAGAGTGGTTTTTGCTTCTCCAGTAGTTTCCATTGATCAGGTAGTCACGACAAATGGCTTACCACCACTCCTGCTGTGCTTCAAGAGATCTTCCTAGAAGATCCCTCATTTCCAGTGCAACAGCTGCTGGCAATCCTTTCAGCAAGTCTGGGCCTCAGGACTCCTCTACCGGGGCTGGCCCAAGAGTCCTGCTTTGGCTTCATTCTGCTCAATGATGGTCCAGAAATCTCATGGACATTCTCTGTGTCATTTTAAATATTTCTGTAGTGATGTTCTCAACAGGAAACCTCTTCAGGTTTCAACTCTTCTGTTGTGAAGTCTTTAACACAGCTCAAAAAGCAGGTTTCTGTTAAGTTTATTTATTGTAGGTTTCCAGGAACTCCTTAAAATGTTTTATCTGGTCAGATTCTGGTATCTATGCATCCATATTCCTTTAGTATGTTTATTAATCACTTAGTCACAGGCTCTCGCATCCAATACCAGCACTGGGCTGAGGAGCTGTGGTAGCGGTACAGCCCCCTCCCAAGTTTCTAATAACCAATGTGAAAAAGTCCTCTGCTCTGTCCACCACATTCTACTTGTTTGTTCTTGAGAAAATAAAGGTAATGATTTAATATACCACATTTTCTCAAGTTGTTTCATGCATTTTTGTTGTTGTTTTGAGACAGGGTCTCTTTATATGGCTCTGGCTGTTCTGGAACTCATGAGATCAGACTGTCCTCAAACACACAGAACTCCACCTGCCAGTCTCCTGGGTGCTGAGATTAAAGGCATCCAGCCCTGAGTGGGCCAGTATTTTATGCAATTTGTATAACCTTCTTATTTAGTTTTTGAGACAGGGTCTTCTTCTGTAGTCTAGGCTTGCCTGGAACCCTCCTTAGTCCTCCTATCTCAGCCTTCTATGTTGGAATTACAGGCATGAACTACCTTACCCTTTTTGTAGCCCATTACAATAGAAAATTAGTTGTCTCATTCAGCAGAAGCTAAAACTGCCAGGTATAAAGTAGCTGTTATATACTGAATGCATAGGAGCTTATAAGAGCTTTATTCACACTTTTCCTTTTTCCTTCTGGAAAACAGTGCCACAGTATATAGCATGGGCTCTATGGCTTTTAGCTGTGTTTTATAATAAACATTAGGTAGGCACAGACTATCATCTCAAATGACTCACTGCTCTCAGAAAGCTTGGATAGTAAGCTACTGATCCCAGCAAGTTTTCTTGAGACCACAGCCCAGAGTGTGTCTCACACTAGTTTATCCATTTGATGTACCTTCCATCAGTTTTTATTATAATTAAATTACTTATTTGTATCTTCTATTGAAGATTTATTTATTTATTATATATACAGTGTTCTGCCTGCATATATGCCTGCAGGCCAGAAGAAGGCACCAGATCTCATTACAGATGGTTGTGAGCCACCAAGTGGTTGCTGGGAATTGAACTCAGGATTTTCAGAAGAGTAACCAGTGCTCTTAACCTCTGAGCCATCTCTCCAGCCCTGTATCTTCTATTGAATGCATGTCTTTTGACTGCAATAAGTTCCTCAACTGCTTAAATACACTCCCCCCCACAAAGTTTTCTAAGTCTTTATTTTCTAAATCAAAACATAGAAGCTGGGCCATGTTGTCAAGCGCCTTTAATCCCAGTCTCCGGAGGCAGAGGCAGGAGGATCTTTGAGTTCAGGGCTAGCCTGGCCTAGAGAGTTAATTCCAGGATAGCCCGGGCTACACAGAGCAACTCTGTCTCAAAACAAACAAGTAACAAGCAAACAAACAAAAGAACAAATAAAAACCAGCAAAAAACCAAACAGACCAGACCAATCAATCAACCAACCAACAAAACCCAGAAGAACTGTGCAATAACCAAGGCTCAGTAATCTGGAAGTGAGAATGTATAAGAGGGATGCTGGGGCCAATAGCACGTATCACACTGAGGCACTACCCAGAGCTTCCAGGAAGATATGAGAGAAACAGCAGAGGTGGTTCAGCACAGAGTGACTCTGGAGAAACAGCATTTGGAAGATTCAATCCCTATCTCTACCTGAGTATGACACCATAATGCATCTCTGACATACACTTACCCCTCTGCTTGCCACATAATCAGAACCCTCAAGTCTTTCAGTAGTGGCCCCAGCACTAACACTACCTTCAATGTAAAATGTGCCTATTTGCAGTCACTTCTACTACCAGCAGCAGCAACAGAGCCTGAGCTGCAAGGAAAACACAGTGCTCACTGTCAAGGGTATTTGTTTGTAATACTCTGTCAAATGATGGTGGACTACTATGAAGTTTTAGGAGTGCAGAGATACGCGTCACCAGAGGACATTAAAAGAGCTTACCGTAAAGTGGCACTTAAATGGCATCCTGATAAAAATCCAGAAAACAAAGAGGAAGCAGAGCGAAAATTCAAAGAAGTCGCTGAGGCATACGAAGTGTTATCAAACGGTGAAAAACGGAACATGTATGACAAATACGGCAAGGAAGGGTTAAATGGTGGAAGTGGAAGTCATCTTGACGATGAAAATGAGTATGGGTTCACATTCCAAAAGGCAGATGATGTCTTTAAGGAAATTTTTGGTGAAAGGGACCCGTTTTCATTTCATTTCTTTGAGGACTCACTTGAGGACCTTCTGAGCAGCTCAAGGAGCTCTAATGGAAGCAGAAGCCAAGGCACAGGATCCCTTTTCTCCTGTGGCTATGACCACCCAGTGTTTGCCAGGCTGTCTTCTTATGACACAGGATATACGTCTTACGTTTCACTGGGGCACGAGGACCTTACTTCATTCTCTTCCCTGGCATTTGATGACTCTGGGATGGGCAGTTACATACCAATTACACCTTCAGGCAAAATTGTTAATGGAAGAAACATCAATACAAATAAAACTTTTGAGAACCGTCAAGAAAGAGAAGTTGAAGATGACGGTGAGTTGAAATCCTTTTTTGTAAATAGTGTGGCAGATGAAGAGGGCTTTGCAGAAAAGCCTAATTGGAGAAGACAGGCATTCAACAATTACTCACCAAATCCCTACAGTCCCCCAGATATATCTCAATATACTCTTTTGAACAATGTACAAGGTACACCTTGGGTCACCAGTAAGAAGGATCCTTCCATTTTCTCAGCAGGATTCAAAGAAGGTGGCAGGAGAAAAAAGAAGAAGCATAAAGAGGGGCAGAAGAAGTCAAACAAAAGAAATTGCTAATTGACTTTTTAAACACATTATGATCATATAACATTTGAACATCACTCTTTTGTGTGTTTTGGTTAATCAGTTTTTTATAGATATTTATTAATATTATGTAAGAGTAGGTAGTTTTCCCCCTGCCTCCCTGGGTGTATGTGTGTTCATTTTGTTTTTGAGACAAGGTCTCAACTATGTAGTTCAGGCTGGCCTGGAGCTTGCTACGGAAACAAGGATGGCCTCAAACTCAGAGGTCTGCCTATCTTTGCCTCCCAGTTGCTGAGATTGAAGGTGTGCGTACTATCATACCTGGTTTAATTAAAAAAAAAAAAAAACAGGATTGTGGACATTTGGTCAGTGTGAAAACTTATGTCAGAAAAAGATAAATTTGGCCCTGCGGTGGTGGTGCACACCTTTAATCCCAGCACTTGGAAGGCAGAGGCAGGCGGAGCTCTGTGAGTTCGAGACCAGCCTGGTCTACAAGAGCTAATTCCAGGACAGCCTCCAAAGCCACAGAGAAACCCTGTCTTGAAAAACCAAAAAAAAAAAAAAAAAAAAAAAAAAAAAAAAATGTGGTAACAATGATTTTAAACCTATGGAAAACTGCAAAGTTTTTTTTTGTTTTGTTTTTTTGTTTTTACATTTTGCTTTTGAGCTGTTTGAGCATAGAATTTTTTTCCAGTGGAGTTTATAAGCTATTTAATTCCTTTAATTAATACCATCACAAATTCCTGGTAAATGTGCATAGCATTAGGAGATAAAAAAATCTACTAAGAAACACAGGCTCAGGCTATAACATGTATTTTGAGTTTGAAATAACAAGACATATTTGCACAAAGATGTTCACAGCAGTTATATTCATAGTATCTAAGAGATAGAGTCAACCAAATGCTCATCAAGAGCCCAAGATATTAGCAAAACCTGATGAATAGTCACACTTGTGAGTATATGCATGCTCATGACAGCATGTATGCATGCACAATGAGGGCAGTTTCAACTGAAAAATCTTGTCATTTGCTACAACATAGATGAGATTTTGGAAACTAAAATCTTAAGATGGCAAGTGAAATAAGCCAGTTACTCATAGACACTGAATAATGTTAATACAGTATCTAGAGCAGTCTAATTGAGACAGGAAGTGGAAAAAAGGGTGTTTTGTAGGTACGAAGCTTCAGACCTGCAAAACAAAAACATTCTGGAACCCCACTTCTCAACAGTGCGAATACACTAATAGCAACGAACTGCACATTAAAAATGTCTAATATGGTAAGCTAAATTTAATGTGTATTATACTACAATTAAAAAAGTTGAGTATTACCCCAGATTCCTTGGAACAACCTGACTATCATGAGCTGCAGAATATCAGTCACTCTCTCCAGATAGGAAACTTTAGCTTTCTCTTATCTGGATGCAGGATCTGTAAAATACTTAGAGCCATTTCACTTAAGGATCATGTTGGTAGAAAAAATGGTGAGTTACAAACACATCAGACACCAAACAAATGGTTTGAACTTAAATACTCTATTAAATCTCTGTGAGTTCGAGGCCGGGCAGGACCGATAGCCTCCAAAATAATACAGAGAAACCCTGTCTCGTAAAAACCAAACCAAACAAACAACTCTATTAAGCTTGCCTTTTTAAAAAATAAATGAACTTTTACTTCAACACTGTGAAGTCTTAGTTTTCTGTAATGTTTTCATCTTCATGATGCTGCTTCTCAACGTTCTATTCATTGAACATTACTATTGAGGGTCTACTACTTGCTGTGCAGGGTTAGGTCTGTGAGGTACAAACAGTACTAAGCAAACAAAAGTCACCGAGTCGACAAAGTGGAGATAGATAACAAGTAAAGCAGGATCTGCTAGCTTCTTTAGTTGCTTGATTAAAGAGATAGAGCAAAGAAATCCTGGAGTTGAGGATTATAGTTTTTCCATGTGGATATGTGGCGAGACAATTCCAGACATTTGGACTGGCAAGGTGCAACATTCCTGATGTAGTGCATGAGAGGAGTTTGAGGAGCACTCAGATCAGTGCTGCAGATTAAGGGTAGCAAATGGATGAAGCCAAAACACCGAAAATAAGCATATTCTTCAGAACTGCTTGGTCATCCCACACATGTTAACCATTACATGGGAGAGAAACTAAGTCATAGGAGGTGTTGAGGAGAGGAATCACATATTCAAATGTGATTGGACTCCTTTGTTATTGCCAGAAGGCTCAAGCAAGCAAGGGTAGAAAAAGGGAAATTAAAATATTGCCACAATGCATTTAAGAGATTGTAACAGTGTGGTTCAAGGTGGTGGCAATGGTGTGTGTGTGTGTGTGTGTGTGTGTGTGTGTGTGTGTGAGTGAGTGGTTAACATTAGGATATACTGAAAAGGTACAGTGAACAGGATATGCTGACAGGGCGTGACAGGAGCTGAGATCAACAGTTTCTGGAACACAGAAAACAGAAGAATGGAACTTAAGTGAGACAGGAGAGCAGGGGCTAAGTTTTGGATATGCTACAAGGGAGATGTTTGACTTTATTAAGCACTGAAAACAATTTGCTGCATGACTTGTGCTTACACTACTTGTCATTAAATTCTTCCTTTATAACATTTATTCGCTATATTAAACAATTTGCTGCATGACTTGTGCTTACACTACTTGTCATTAAATTCTTCCTTTATAACATTTATTCGCTATATTATATATATATATATATATAATGTATCCTTTTTTCTTTTGTATTTGAGAAATGTAATAATAGTAAATTCCAGGCATTATCAAATGCTAGTTCCAAATTCTTGTAAATTACTGTATTAAAGGGTGCAAACAAATCATCCAGCGAACACTAAAACCTATCTCCTTTGTTAAAATACTAAACTGAAAGCCAGAAACAAGTATATTAACTACTATATATGTACACACACACACACACAATTTTTGTGTTGGAATTACAGGAATGTGTAACCATATTCCATCTAATAAATCAACTAAGTGGACCTTAAATTAGCAACATTTGCAGGGTTGGGGGGTATAACTCAATAACTCAGTGGTAGAGTCTGTGCTTATTTTTGGTCAAGCTCCAGGTTCAATCCCCATCACCTACAATCAACCAACCAAAAAATAAAACAAAAAAACTACTCTCACTTCAGATATGCATGCCTTCCTCAGGTGAGAAAGTTTCTCCCTTTCTCTCTCACCCTCCCCCTCCCCTCTCTTTTTGAGACAGGGTCTCAATTATGTATCTCTGGCTGTCCTGGAACTCACTATGTAGACCAGGCTGGCCTCAAACTCAGAGATCCACCTGCCTCTGCTTCCTTAGGGCGGGGATAAAAAGAATGCACAACACTTCTTATGGCAGCCAATAGTCTTTAATATAAAACACTTGTTCTCAACCTATGGGTCATGACCCCTTTGGGGGTTGAGGGACTCTTTCCCAGGGGCCCCATATCAGATTAGATATTTATATTACGATTCATAAGAGCAAAATTATAGTTATGAAATAACAACAAAAGTAATTGTATGGTAGGGGCTCACCACATGAGGAACTGCATTAAGGGGGTCGAGGCTTAGGAAGGTTGAAAACCACTGCTCTACAGCCTTTCTAAAGGACAAACACATGCAGCTGGGGAGGAAGGTTCTGGGAGGAGGGGTGAATGATTAAAAGACATTGTATGGAAGTCTCAAAGAATTAATAAATTTTAAAAAAGAGAAACCAACACCACAGATATTCCAAGTCCTAGTCACAAGAAAGTCAAACCATGGGTAACACAATACTCACAATCAAATGCACTTCTATCTTTCCCAAGTTCCCAAATCCCTGGGTCAAGACTATAATCACTCAGACACAGTGTCATTTGTTGCTTGTCTTTCTCCCTTTTCTAGACTGTGAGCAACAGTGGGGAAGTAGAGATACAGCCACAATAACTACTAACTCAAAAGCAGCTGGAGGAAACTGCACTTTTTGGCTCACAAAATGAGAAGCTGCAAAAGGACTCTAGCTAGCAGAATTAAGACTAGACATAATCATGTAACACACATCATCCTTAATTGTGTTTCAGTTCCTTGGTCAACATCACTCCTTCATTGAGTTAAAAAACATTTAGTGGTAATATAATAAGATGCTGGACTTACTTTCCTTAGACACAACTACAATAAATTCATAAGATTTTTATGTAATTTAGTCCAGTATCTAGTCCTAACCCTGGATCAAATCAGGATTTACACGAAGCTTCAAGAACGTTAAAGATTAGGAGCAAAAAGCTAGTTCTAGTCTTGTCACAGGTCTCTGTGATTATAATTTATCAATCACATTTATTTTCATTAATTCCCATCAAAGGCACAACTACTAGGATTACAGAACAAGCTCTGTGCAATGGACAATTTAAATAGAAAGCGGATATAAAAAATTTATTTCCGCGAACCCAAGTATTACACACAAATGCCAAGACAACTTTTGATGTCAAATACCCTATTTTCTGGTTAACATTTTGCACACCTCATCTGAAATATAATCCAGTATCAGATATCCTTGCAAGATGGATGACTCATTTTTTCAGTTTAAGATTTTACGTTAATCAGATTAATTGCTCACCATACAGTACACGGAAGATTGACATTCTCCGCGCTACATTAGCTTTTCTGCTCATATAACTTTTAGGAACGTTCCCCTTACCTCCAGTACTTTGTAAACTGAACTGCACAAAACATTTGTTTCTCAGCGTTTTTTCTATCTTTTGAGCTAGCTCTCCTATGAAACCTTTGAAAACCCGATTTTACGCTGCCTTAGCGGAAACAAACGTCACTGGATATGGAGCACATTAGTCAGTGTGATGGTAAAAGGTAAAAATTCTAAATTCGAGCATCTTAGAAGGCAGTCCCTCGGGGTTCCCTTCTCTTCAGTCATTTCAGCTTCCCAGAATATCAGAACCTAAAGCCCACTTTCCCAGAGCAGTCGGTTAAAAGAAAAATCCGTGGGGGCCCAGGAGCCGACCCGTGTCCAGAACCAGGAATCAACTTCTAACTCTTCGGGCTGCTCTAGGCTTCTCCAAGGGAAGAGCCGGAGGGGACACTGGCTGGAAAGACTCTAACCTGAGAGGCAGCGGAGTCTTGCTATAACGGGAACCAGCTTGGGGGTTGAGAGCAGGGAAGGCATGGCCAACACACGCGCGTCAGGAAGAGAAAGCACAAATTGCGGGGCAAGAAGCCGCCAGCACAGCAGCGTCGCCAGGAAACCAGTTAACTGCCCTTCCCCTTCCGGCAGGCGCCGCTCGGGGGCTTTCTTTCCATAGCGGCGCAGAGCGATGACGTCACCCGACTGGGTTTTGGCGCGCCGACCCCCTAGGCTCCCCGCCCAGCCTCCAGAGGGCACCTCGTTCTGCTTAACTTCCACCTTCGCAGATTATCCTATTCCGAATGCCTCCCCGCCTCCCGCCTGAAAGCACACACGCAAGGTCCTTCATCTATCCCAGGAGCTAGGTCAGAGGAAAGACTGCGAATAAGAATGTTCAGGTCTAGGAGCAGGCACTATCACGGACAGCTGCACTTCTAGAAGGTTCTAGGCGGTGCACCCAGTCCAGAGGCAGAGGAGGAATGAGCGAGCGGAGGACCGGGGTCACGAGGCCGTTGTGGGGGAGGAGCCAGCGGCCGGGGAGGTTCTAGTCTGTTCTGCCTCGCGGCAGCCGCCCCCTTCTCCTCGATCACGTTGAGCCGCGCCCGGGCCTGGCCTTGGGCCTCCTCCGCCGCACCTCGCCTGCAGCCTCCCGCCTCCCAACCATGGATCCCCGCAAAGTGAGCGAGCTTCGGGCCTTCGTGAAGATGTGCAAGCAGGATCCGAGCGTCCTGCACGCCGAGGAAATGCGTTTTCTGAGAGAGTGGGTGGAGAGGTGAGCGCTGGGCCCCGCGGACCGTTGGGGACGGGAAGAGGCGGGAGCTGGGCCCGAGCTAGTGTGGGGCGGAGGGTCGCGGACCTAGGCCCCTTCGTGCTTCGCTCCCCAGTGGCTTTGAGAGGTTATCGGGGGATCCGGAGCTTTGGGTAATTTAGGGGTAGAAAAGCAGAGAGTAGAGCTGGGTTTGCCACAGTGTAGTCGCCAGGGGGGTGTGTTTTGGGAGAAATGAATGTGGAGGATTGTGAGGATTTGAGCACTGAAATAATGCGCGCAACCGGACAAAGCTTTTATAGAGGGGTTGATTTTTCTTTAAACTGGCGTCTTGCTTAAGTCTCCTTGACCCATATATCGTTTTAAATGCTATCTTAATAGTGGTAACTTACCTAGTCTCTAATAACTTTAACTATCTGTACTGTATTTTACAGAGATTTTAATTGCATGGAATTGTGTTGGGAATCATTTTTACCCGCCTTAGTTGTAGCGCTGCCACTTCGCACTGTAGCAAAATGATTTTTCAAAGGCTAGCATGCATGCAGGACTAGCCGGAGAATATTTGGCCTGCGTACGAGGAATTCCGTGAATAGATATTGTGCCAGCTGCTGGGAAGCAGCATTACTCGGGAATTGGTTTTCCCTTTCGTTGTTTTAGGCTCGTTGATAAAAGATTTTTAGGGCAGGACTAGAAGGAAGCTTGGAGACCATTAGAATTTGGGGAAAAGAGAACAGTGCAGGCGAGCTGTAAATCTCTAGCTGCCAGGGAGGAGGGAGATGAAGAGAAATTTAAGTCGTGCCTTCTGAATTAGGGTCAGCAGTGGGCGCTTATCAGCACTTGTAAAAATGGGGCAGGGTCTTCAGGAAAAGTGAGAATTCAGGGTCAGGTCGAACTTGTTAAGTTAATACTCAAAGAAGAGATGGGGAAAAGGTCAAGTTACATCTTTTTAATTAGAACCCCGAAACAAAACAGGCTTAGCTGTGGATGTCTGAGAGGAGCTGTGTGGAGGGAAGGACTTATGGGCTTTACTTTAAGGTTAATTATTTCTTTTGCGTATCTTCAGATGAATCAGCTTTTCTGAGAGGTCCATTTTCTGACTAGGTGATTGACAAGCCCAGTTGGATTAACTCTTTAGGGGAGGCCTCAATAAATGATATGTAATTTTTTCTTTTTAAAATTTTAATTATTTGTTGAGACAGTGTCTCACCATGTAGTTCTGCTGAGAACTTGCTTTGTAGAACAGACTGGCCTCAAATTCACAGAGATCCACCTGTCTCTGCCAAGTATTGGGATTAAAGGCTCACACACCAGCTGTTTCATGTTTTGTTATTTTATGTGTACTGAGTGTTTTGCAAGTATATGCATGCCTGAGGCCCAGGGAGGGAAGAGGAGGGCATTGGATCCCTTGGAAGTAGAGTTGTGGATATCTGTACTCCACTATTGTGGGTGCTAGGAATGCTGCCTGGGATCTTCTGTAAGAGCAGCAAATACTCTTAATCACTGAGCCATCTGTTCAGCTCCAGTATGTAATAGTGTTTTGGGCGATTTAGAATGTAGTGTCTCTCCAGGGACAGGAGGAACTCAGATTCTATTCCTTTAAGTAGGAGGAAATGGCTTTCCTAAACCAGCCTCATCAAATCTCTGATAATTCCCACGTAGGGAGGACATTTTTATATGGTGAAACTTTTTTTAGAAAGATGTATTTATTTTATATATTTTGCTTGCACTTCGATTAAGTGCACCACATGCCTTCTAGTGAAGCCAGGACTGTTGTCACAGTTGTGAGCCATCATGTGGGTGCTGGGAAATAAACTCAGGTTCTCTGGAAGAACAGTGAGTGCTCTTAAGTGGTGAGCCCTAATATATCCAACCTTCATGGAAACCCTGCTAAAGGGCAGGGCTGATGCTGCTCTCTTTCTTCTTGTTTTTGATTTTGGTTTTTCAAGATAGGGTTTCTCTGTGGCTTTGGAGGTTGTTCTGGAACTTGCTCTGTAGACCAGGCTGGTCTCGAACTCACAGAGATCCATCTGCCTCTGCCTCCCGAGTGCTGGGACTAAAGGCATGTACCACCAATGCCCAGCTGCTTCTTTCTTTTTCAAGGGTTAATAACAAGAGTTGTGGTCCACTACTGATTATGAGGGAACAGGTCCATTTTGAATGAGCATCAACCCTTGTAATATCTGTATAGCTAAGTGCTGTTTAGGAGTACAGATGAGCCCAGTGGTGGTAGCACATGCCTTTCATCCCAGCACACAGTGGCAGATGGATCTCTTGTGAGTTCATGATCACCATGGTCTTCAGAGCCAGTTTCATGACAGCCAGGGCTGTTAAGAGAAACCCTGCCTCAAAAGAGGTGTGGGGGAGGGAGGGAAGAGAGAGAGAAGAGTATAGATGAATGGCAGAAAAATTGTTTTTATAATTACTTTCTAACAGCAATCTACATATTGGAGGGGAGGCTCCTTAGCTGACAAAAGCAGGGCTGCAACTCTTCTCCAGGAAAGGAAACTTTAAACAATTCCTACTAGTGGGAGACTTGGTGCTACTTCCAGCATCCCCACCTCCAGAAAAAACAACTTGTTAGCAGGGAATTATTATGTGGGAAGAGTAGGGCCACATGTTCCTAAGTTCCCAGTTACTCTGGAGGTTGAGGCTGCGGCAGCCTGGCCAAACACAAGACCCTGATTAAGGGTCAGTCCCGATCTTTACCTCCCAAAAGAATAAAACCCTCACGTTAAAAGTTTCATTTCAAAAGGGTGAATAGGTCCTGCTTTAAGACATGAGCAATAAACTGGTGAAGTAATTTTCCATGGGGGAATTGGAACATGAGAGTATTTATTTGAACAAGCATAGTTTCAGGAAGCAAGTTAAAATATTGTTTTGTGTGGTGACATTTTTCTCATGTTAAGCCTATTATTCTCTCTGCCAATTTTATAGCTGTTCTAGGATTTGTACTTGTTAAATGAATAGAACTCTTAAGAATTTATTATTGTAACTTTATTAAAACAATGGAAACAAATCCTAGTTTGTAGGCCTAGTGGTGTACCTGTGTAACATGTCTTTCAGCTCTGGTGCATACCCTCCAACAATTCTTTTTTTTTTTTTTTTATCCATTTATTATGAATACAACATCCTGCCTCTATGTATGCCAGCAGGCCAGGAGAGGGCACCAGATGGCATTACGGATGGTTGTGAGCCACCATGTGGTTGCTGGGAATTGAACTCAGGACCTCTGGAAGAGCAGTCAGTGCTCTTAACCTCTGAGCCATCTCTCCAGCCCCACCCTCCAACAATTCTGATATTTGTTTTTTTTAAATCTTTGCTTTCTCAAAAACAAGAAACCCACGAGTTTCCATTACACAATCGTTAGGACTAAGAGTTGAGGACTGGGTTTTAGTGCTTTTCCCTGATAAACAGCTTGTTAACCTAAAGCTGAAGGTATTTCTCTTCTTTGATCCGCTCATATCTTGTTAAAGGAAGGGTCCCCAAATAAACAAATTGTTACTAAAATTCTAGGTGTAACAGGCATACCAAAGGTTTTGTTTTCCCTCATTCCTCCTAGGGAGGAAGAGGGGACGATAAAAAAGTTAAAAACATTTTTTTTTCAAGACAGGGTTTTTTTCTTTTTTTTTTTTTTTTTTTTTTTTTTGTCTTGCAACTGTAATTTTATTTTCTTTTGTGAAAATAGACTGGGAGTTTAAATTGCTCCAAAAAAACCATGAAAACGAAATGAAATACACACAGAAGCTTGTGAGGTGATGGGGGGAGGGGCAGAGGGTCTTAACAACTTCCACAGATTGTACTAGCACGTACGACTGAGGTGACAGGAGCCAGACATCAAGGACTGGGTCCTGCCTGCCACTCTGAGACTGCGAGGCGGGAAAATTCAACTGGGCACCAAGACGAACATAGACTTCTTGGAGGCACCTTGAGTCCCTTTAAATGCAGGGGTGGGGGGGGCGTTTCAGAGGAAGGACCTCTTTCCCCACCACAAGCTGGAGGCTGGCCCATTGGGGCCCAAAGAGAGAGGGGGGGATGCTGGTGGGAACGACCAGGCCAAGATGTCATCACACACGGTTATGGCCTTACGCTGGGCAGAGGTCAAAGGGGGCATGGATGGTGTTGAACACATTAACAAAAACTTGAGCAAGGGAACAGGAGTGGCCCGGAAGAAGGAGAGCCAGGCTAGAACTCCGGGCCAGGCAAGGCTGCAGATGCAGCAGGGAGCCAGGGCAGGTGGGGGCTGGTGAGGACAAGGAGGGCAGAAAGTCAGGAAGAGAAGAGGTAGAGAGGCGGCTTCTGCCCAGGTAAACCCACCACAGCGCACGGGGAGAGCGCAACACACTGCTTTTCAGTGCTTTCTTGTGAAGATGGGCGGGGCGGGGGAGGGGGCGAGGAAGGTTTTGTTGGTTTTTTTTCTTTTCTTTTTTTTTTCTCTTTTTAAAAAAAAGCCTGAAGATCAGCTACTGGTTACATCTACACTTGTAAAGCACTGCGGTTACCAGTCACTTTACAGAACAGTCCAGAGTGGTCAAATATTGACCAATAATGTTTCCTTTCCACCCCCCTCCTCTCGTCTGAACCATTACTACTTGGAGTCCCGAGACAGCCTTCATAGAACAGGGGGCAGCTTAGTGGGCAGACTTGGTGACCAAGGAGAGAGGCTGGGCTTGCAGCACGGGAAGGGCCTGATGGGCATGGAGAGGGGCTGGGAAGGAAGCGGGAGAGGCCAGCAGGGCAGTGGGCACGGAGCCCAGGGGCAGAGGCCTGGATAGGAGTGGGGGCTGGCTGCCCATCTGGCTGGAGTTGCTGGCTGCGGCCTTAGCTGACAGGAAGGCAGCTGAATGGAGAGCCAGCTGGGCTCGGGTCTCCGGTTTGGTGGTGAGGGACAGGGGCTGGGCTTGCTCGGAGTGGGTGGCTGCAGGGGCAGCTGGAGAGGCCAAGGCTGCGGAGGGAGTTGCTGGGGAGTCCAGCGTGCTGCCATGGGAAGAGGCAGGGCTATCGCAGGGCTTCTCCGGGGGCAGGTACTGAATACATGGCTTCTTGCTCTTAGAGGCCAGAGCACCCTCTGCCTCTTGAATCTGCTGCTGTGACTGTGTCTGTGACAGCTGCTTTTCCCTCTTCCTCTTCTTTTTCTTACCGTAGTTGTCCCGGGCTGACCAGGTTGGGTAGAGCTGTGCGTGAAGCTGCCGCTCTTTCCGGGCAAGCTCATAGTATTTGGCCTGTTCTTCTCTAGACAAGTTGTGCCACTTTCTTCCCAGGATTTGGTTAATGGCGGCACTTTCCTTCAGGGTGCACTCGGCCACCACCTTGGCCCTCATCTCCTTCATATACAACATGAAGGCATTCAGAGGCTTTTTCACATGAGGCTTCTTCTCCTCCTCCTTTTTCACCGTAACGGGGGATTTTGCACTCACTGCAGGGCTCAGGCTGGGGGGTGCTGGTTCCTGCTTCACAATGGGGGAGACGATGGCAGGGTGGGGGATTCCTGAGGTGGGCAGGCCAGGATGGGCAGGGGCCACCATGTGTGGGGAGAACCGACTTGAGACCAGGCTGGACATTGAGGCGTTCATGGCAAGGGCAGGGTAAGGATGCCGGAAACCACCAGGAGGGAGCGAGTACATGGGCTGTCCTTGCTGTGGGACAAGCCAGCCGAGGGGATGGGGGATTTGTCCGACAGCTCCTGGAGACAGTGGGTAATACGGTGACAGCTCGGATGGATGAGGGGGCCGGGGGATTCCTGTCTTTGGATCGATCTCCGGGGAGAGATGTGTGGGAGGGGAAGCAGGGGAGAAGTGGTCGTTGCTGTAGGTGATGAGGGGTGTCAACGGGTGCATGTGATGCGGGTGCTGAACAACAGGAACTTTGTTGGACAAGTGTGCTGGAGACGGTGATCTTGTGTCCTTGACTGTAGCACTGGAGGGGACATCGAGGAGGGGCCATTTCATCTGCAGGTAGGTGCGCGCTCCACCAGGAGACAGGGGTCCATTGGAGAGGTACGGGCTGCTCAGGTCCGGAATCATCAGGAAGGGGTACCCAGGATACGCAGGTCCCTTAAAGAAAGCGCCGTCCTGGGGCCTTCTCACTTCAGCGAAATAGTCGCGCGGCTTCTGGAAAGCGTCCCGGGCGGGCTGCGGGCGCCTCTCCGCCTCCGAGTCCTAGCTGCTGCTCTGATTCTCCGATTCGTTGACCAGGGACGACTTGACCTCATCCAGGTCCCGCTGCGCCGAAGCGCTGTCGCTGCTTGGCTCTTGCTCTTCGCCCCCTTCGTCCTGGAAGGGGATCAGCTCGTCGTTCGCTCCGAGGTCGTCCCCTCCGCTGGTTGCCCCGGCTCCGGAGCCACCGCCTCCCCCGCCGGCGCCGCCACCGCGGCCACCACCGAGCTGGGGCATGGTGGGGCCACGGGCCGGGGCCGCTGCGCTCGGAGCCCCGCGCCCTGCCTGGCCCGGCCCGGCGCCCCTCCCCGACAGGGTTTTTTTCTGTGTAGCCCTGGTTGTCCTAGAGCAGACTCTGTATAAATTTAGTCTGTGAACAATGGCTGCATTTACACTGTACTATTTTCAACATTTTAAATTTGAGTGGACACTGACTATATGGAAAAAGAGAACTCTAAAGTGGTTTAATCTATGTTAATAACAATATAATTAATAACATGTTATTAACATAATAGAATTATTTTATTTTGAGACAAGAGTTGCACTATGTAACTTTGACTGCCCTGGAACTCAGTCTGTAGACCAGGCTGGCCTCAAACTCACAGAGATCCACTTGTCTCTGCCTCCCGTGTGTTGGGATTAAAGGTGTGCACCACCCTTGCCTGGTAACTATGATTATTCCTGTATCTAGCAATCTCTGTATTTAGCCCAATTTACAATGACTGACAAGAATGCAGAGAAGAGCCGGGCAATGGTGGGACACGCCTTTAATCCCAGCACCCAGGAGGCAAAGGCAGGCGCACCTCTCTGAGTTTCTAGACTGGCCTGGTCTACAAGAGCTAGTTCCAGGACAGCCTCCAAAGCCACAGAGAAACTCCCTCCCCCCCAAAAAAAAGAATGCATCAAAGAAAGAAATAATAATACACTCAGTTAAAATGATCATGTATACAAAAATGAGTTTTCAGTGCTGGGAACATAATCTAGAGCACACTAGGCAAGTACTCTACCAACTGTGTCAGACGCCCACCCAAAAGTGGTAGTTTCAAGTTAGAGTGAAATAAAGATAAACTAGATGCTGGATGTGAGTGACACACATCCTTAATGCCACCATCTGGCAGGTAGAGGCAGGTGGATCTCTGAGTTTGAGGGTAGCTTGGTCCACATAGTGAGCTCCAGGTCAGTGAAGGCTAGTGAGACTCTGTCTTCAAAAAAAAAAAAGTTAAAGAAATAGAACTAACTGAATTCACAGTAATAGCGTGAATCCAGGTAGACTGTCCTTTTCAACAAACACGTTTTGCAATACTTTTGTTCTGCTCTTTTTTGAGAGGGTACCGTTGTCTGATACCGCATTCTCCCATTACTTTATCTTTGTGTCTTATACCTACTTTAATCATTGCACTTGATGATAATTAAGTCCCCTAGATATGTCTTCATGTTCTACTATGTAGCACAGTTCACAGAACATGGCATTGAGTAATCATTTGAACATGGATAGAATGCATTTCTACCCTCAGTACACAATTTAGAGTGTAACACCCCCGTGTTTGTACATATGCTTAAATAATAGCTCAAAGCAGATTTTTAACTCTCAAGAGAATTAGGAATGAAGCTTTGTGTGATCATATTTGAGGAAGAGTTCTTACCCATCCTGCCTGATGGATTATTAAAGACAACAACAAAAAGCCCTGTGCTTAAAGAGTCCAAATGTTGACTTTTTGCAGGAAGCTAGCTTATTCTAAGTTTTGGAACATTGAGAATATTGATAATAATCTACATGTAAAATTGGTTCAGATTTGAATAGTGAACTGCAGTTTGTAATGTGAGAAACATGAGGTATAGCTTATGAAAAAAATTTCTGTTTCTCTAAGCTTTTTTTTATTTTGAAACAATTTCTGGTTCAAAATTGATTACAACATGTTCAGTCCCATTGAGTATTTGTTTCCTACTAATAATGACAGTCTACAATACAACCGCTTCATTTTCATTCTAAACCTTTCAGTTTTACCTTGGCTTTCATGATTTTGACAATTTGAGTATTAAAAGCCAGATACTTTAGCATTTCCCTCAATTTGGATTTGTCTGAGCTTTTCTGAGAATTAGATTTCTTGGCAGGGCTCTCACTTCCCAGAGTTAAACTGTTGTAACTGTGTTTGGATGTCACCCTACATTCCTGACACTGCAGTTTGGAATTTAGGAAAAACACAGCATAAGAAGCACTGTGTCTTCATTAAAATTTAACTTCAAAGAGCCAGTGTTTAGTTACTGTGTACCTTTGAACACATTTAATGTAGAAATGTTTGAGGTGTTTATATGCTTGTTCCTTATTAAATTATTTTGCTTTCCTGAATTGGAAATTAAGACATTTTGCATCATGCAATTTTAAAAAAAATTTTTCTGTTTTTGTTGTTGTTGTTGGTCTTTTTTTTTTTTTTTTTTAAACAAGATAGGGTTTCTCTGTATTGTTTTGGAGGCTGTCGGTCCAGCCTGGCCTTGAACTCACAGAGATCCGCCTGCCTCTGCCTCCCAAGTGCTGGGATTAAAGGCGTGCGCCACCACCGCCCGGCCTGTTTTGTTTTGTTTTGTTTTTAAGACAGGGTTTCTGTGTGTATAACCTGGAACGAATTCTGTGGACCAGGCTGGCCTTGAACTCACAGAGATCCGCCTGCCTCTGCTTCCTGAGTGCTGGGATTAAAGACTTTTGCCACTCCTCCCACCCATCACTCTATGATCTTTTGTCATACAGCAACCATTATTTACTGAGTAATGGAAGGGTGTGTGTGTGTAATTAAAACAGAAAAAAATACACATTTTTTTTTCTTCGAGACAGGGTTTCTCTATAGCTTTGGAGGCTGTCTTAGAATGCATGAAGTAGACCAGGCTGACCTCAACTTCATAGAGATCTGCCTGTCTCTGCCTCCCCAGTGCTGGGATTCAAGGTGTATGCTGCCACCAACCTGGCCACATTTTTTCCTTGATTGGTGATCCTTAAAAAGAAATGTCAAATTTGGTTGAAAATGGCAACATACACACTTGGAATCTGTCTTAACAAATAAAACCAGGGGCAGGGGAGATGCAATGGGTGTTAGGAGTATTGATTGCTTTCCTGAGTACCCAGGTATAGTTTCCTGAGTACCCATGTCATTGCTCGCAACTGTGTCATTCTAGTCCCAAAGGATCTGACACCCTCTTCTGGCTTCCAGGGGAACCAGTCATGCACTTGGTGCACATACATACATGCAGACAAGCACTTATACACAAAATAAAAACAAATGTTTTCACTAGAATTGCAGAGTTGTGGGCTGCCATGTTAGTATTGAGAACTGAACCCAGGGTCCTTGCAAGCGTGCTTATCCACTGACCCTTTTCTCAAGCACCTAAACTTTTTTTTTTAAGGAAAAGCAAAACCATTTTTTAAAAAAAATTTCCATTTGCTGCTTTGCATTTGAACTTGTTTCATGTTGGGTTTATTAAGAGAGATTAAGGCATGCCACAGATTTAGAAAAGGTATTTGTAACATATGCAACTGACACAGGCTCATGGCCAGAATATTTTTTAAAAGGCCCATGAATAAGACAATGTAATGAAAACCTGGACGAGAGTTGAACAATATAAAACTGGGTCTTCAGATGGCCAAGATAATATATGAAAGGGGACTTAATGCAATGAAATGTTACCATATACCCACAAAGCTTAGAAATTTTGCATGGGTAATAGCAAAGTTTAGGATTGAATAACTACAATTTTTCATGCATTGTTGATAACTAGTGTTACTGATGCTCATCTAAATTCAACTTCAATATATACTTTACATCCAAATTCTACCAGTGGGAAGGAATGTAAATGTCATGAAAGAAAGGGGGACGGATAACATGGCTCAGCAGGCAGAAGTGCTTGCTTGCTGTCTGAACCTGACGACCTGGGTTGATTCTAGGATTCCATCTTGGAAGAAACCTGACTCCTTGACATCTTCTCAAGTCCATTTGTACACTTGCATTTTGACACAACACATAATAACAAAAATAAAAGATGTAAAAAAGAAATGACAAGGGGCTGGAGAGATGACTCAGAGGTTAAGAGCACTGGCTGCTCTTTTAGAGGTCCTGAGTTCAATTCCCAGCACCCACATGGTGGCTCACAACCATCTGTAATGAGGTCTGGTGCCCTCTTCTGGCCTGCAGGCAGACATGCAGGCAGAGCACTGTATAATAAACATCTTTAAAAATGACAGTTAAGGGTCTTTAGTTTTACATGTCACTAAATTCTTAAATTGCTTTTGTTTCTGCTGGTTTTCACCCATCACCCACTTAGGCATTCTGCTATTGACTCCTGAGTCGATAGCAAACACAGCATGTAAGCTTATTCTTTTGTGGTCTTTTCTCCTTTGAATGATATTATTTTTGTATTATCCTAGACTAAGTCGATAGCAAACACAGCATGTAAGCTTACTCTTTTGTGGTCTTTTCTCCTTTGAATGTTATTATTTTTGTATTATCCTAGACTGATTGAGAATCAGGACTTTGCAAAGAACCAAGTGGTCCTGGCATGCTAAGCAGTCACTTTACCACTCAGCTCCTGACGTACTCTTGCCAAATGTCAATCTCAAAAATTGCCACGCACACATGCACGCCATACCTCTAAGTTTCTGAGCTAATGACTTAGGAAATGATTTTTTTGTTGTTGTTTTTGCTTTTTCTCTGTGGCTTTGGAGGCTGTCCTGGAACTAGGTCTTATAGACCAGGCAGGTCTGGAACTCACAGAGATCCGCCTGCCTCTGCCTCCCAAGTGCTGGGATTAAAGGCGTGTGCCACCAACGCCCAGTGGAAATGATTTTATTGTTGTGTATTTACTTATTTCTGCCTTTTGTTTTTCCTTTGGGAATGGGTACTGAGAGCTATAATAGTTTATTAGGCTCATAAGAGATAGGGGAAAGGTTTTATTAATTAGTGTGCCCAAAACAATTTGAAGTTGACAGACTTACTCGTAACAAAGCATTACTATTAATTGAGAGTGTACTCTTCTAAGCTTTGAAAGGCTATCAAAACATTAAGCCTTTTTTTAAGTATAAGTTTGTTGCTTTTTAGTGAACTCATGGTGAATATTCTAAACAAATGTCTTTTTTCTTATTTTAAGCATGGGAGGTAAAGTACCACCTGCTACTCATAAAGTTAAGTCAGAAGACAATGTTAAGGTAAGTTCAAATTTCTTTACTTTGTTTAGGGATAAGACACTATTTTTTAACAGGTGTGGGTTTTTTGTTTTTAACTGCTGTTCACAAGTTTTATTACTCCTAATGTTCCCACTTGGAGTATGATCTTTTAAATTTGTTGCCTTTGAAGAGTTTCTCTTAGATAAATCTGAAAACAGATTTAAAACTGAGGATTTGGAGTTGGATGCCAGCTGTTTCAGAATAATGTCACCTGTGTAAATAGCAAACTCTGTACTTGTCTTCCTTGTCTCTTTAGTAGCAGCAAGAGGAAATAAATACCTCTGAGCGTTCTCATTTCTTCCTCCTTGCTACCTGAGGAGAGATTGTCGAGGATGAAGAATTGGATTCTGGTTTTGCTTTAGCACACTTAGCAGAATGGCATGCAGGATCAGGGGAGGTTGCCCATGGTGGAAGTTTGGATATGAGGGGCCAAATAGCACGTAGCATATCCTTCAGTAGCTTTTATTTCTTCTGTACTGAGAGTTTTTTTCTTCCCAAGTTTTGTAGTTGTCTTAAAGACTTGATTTGTATAAGAAAATAGAAGTTATAACCCAGGTGTGATGATAGATGCTTGTAATTTTTGAGACAGGCAAGTAGATTGAAAATTTAGGTCATCTTGGGTTATGTGATGAGCTGTAGGCCATTCTAGATTACTAGAGAGACCTCCCCCCCTCCCCAAGAAAAGAAAAACAAAATCTCTCAAGATGGCTCAGTTTTTAAAACACTTGCTGTACTTCTTACATGAGGGCCCGGCCCATACTTAAAATCCTGGGTGTGCGTGGTGGTGGTGGTGGTGGTGCACACCTTTAATCCCAGCACTCAGGAGGCAGAGAGGCAGGCAGATCTCTTGATTTTTGAGGCTAGCTTTGTCTATAGAGCAAATTCCAAGACAGGGCTACACACAGAGACCTGTCTTAAACCCCCCTACCTCCGCCTCCCAAAAAGATCTGGATATAGTGGCTTTCTGTTACTGTTGTGAATGTCATGACAAGAAACAACTTGGGGGGAAAGGGTTTATTTCAGCTGATCGGTTACAGTCCATCATAAAGGGAAGCAGGACAGGAGCTCAGGGTGGGGACCTGGAGGTGGAAACTGAAGCAGACACTATGGAGGAATGATGCTTTTTGTAGATTGCTTAGAAACAGCCTAAACCCACCTACCTAGAGTTGGTACCTCCCACAGTTGGCTGGACCCTCCTACACCAATTAACAATTAAGAAAATGTTTCACAGATAAGGCTGCAGGTCAGTCTGGTCTGGTTAATTCAAGTGAGGCTCTCACTTGTGTCAAGTTCACAGGTAAAGCCAACTCCCGTTTCACCCCTTGTCAACCTTGACAAGCATGATTTTAAACAATGACCGTTCTTTCTTGTGTCCAAGGTCTTATATTAATATAAAATGTAAAACTTTAAAAATCCCATAGTTTTTAGTAATTCCGATGCTCTTAAAGTTCAATGTAAAGCTGTGTGTGGTGGCTGTACTTGTGGCATTAATTTCTGTCCTAGTTTGCTTTCTGTTGGCCAGAAGCATGGGTTTGTTGTTGTGGTGGATCTGACCAAGTTGGTTTGGGTATCAGACTGCGGACAAATTTGGTACTTTGAGCTGGAAAAGCTGTGTAGTGTTTAGTATTGTATGAAAGCCAGGAAGATAAGAAATACCAGGGCAGAAGTTTAAGACAGAATGGGAAAATGCTGTTTAACTGACTCAGCCCCTTTATATATGTATATATGACAAAGTCGTATTGTGTAGCTCTGGTTGGCCTGTAACTATGTATAGATAGTAGACCGACCTCAGACTCACAGAGAACAGCCTGCTTGGGGTTAAAGGTGTTCCCCCTCCCCCCCTCTTCTTTCTGGTTTTTCAAGACTGGGTTTCTCTGTGGCTTTGGAGGCTGTCCTAGAACCAGCTCTTGTAGACTAGGCTGGTCTTGAACTCACAGAGATCTGCCTGCCTCTGCCTCCCAAATGCTGGGTTTAAAGGCGTGCGCCACCCCGCCTGGCTTAGCTCCTTTTCTTATACAGTTCAGGCCTACCTGCCTAGGGAGTAGTATTGCCCACAGTGGTCTAGCCTCTCCTACATTAATTATTAAATATGAAGGTGCTTCACAGATATAACTATAGGCCATTCTGACCTGGGCAGTACTTCACTTGAGGGTTCCTCTTTCCAGATGATCCTCGGTTTGTATCAGTTTGATGAAGTTTTTTGTGACAGTGGCATTACTCCTTTAAATTTAGGGATGGGTAGGTAGTCAGGCAAATCTCTGCAGCTCACTGACACTTGTTTGATCATGGGTACTGTCACAGTTACTTTTCTCTTGCTGTGAAGAGATACCATGACTGAGACAACTTATAGAAGAGTTCATTGAGTTCTTGTAGTTCCAGAGGGTTAGAGTCCGTGAACATGGCAGGGAGCATGGTGCTGGATCAGTAACCGAGAATTGACCTCTTGATCCACAAGCACAAGGCAGAGAAAGCTAATTGGGAATGGCATAGGCTTTTGAAACCTCAGAGCCAGTTGCTAATGATACACCTCCTCCAGCAACCTATTAATCCTTCCCAAACAGTTCCACTGAATAAGTACCAAGCATTCAAATATATTAGATCCCAGGACCCATTCTCATTCAAGATACCACAGACAGATTGCACATACAAACACTAGACATGAAAAGGTTTCTGTATATGTGTATATATATGAAAAGGTGAAAGAAACATTTAGTTGAGTGACCCTGTTTCACAAATAAAGTGGAGAGTTACTAATAAAGACACCCAACATCTTTTGGCCTCTATGTTAATGTAATCTGCGCACACATGAATATAAATGTACATATACCACCCTCTATATCTGTGTGCCCTGGATTGGAATTGTAACCCAAATTGGGTGTAGTGGTGTGCACCTATTATCTCAGCATTTGTGGGGTTAAAGCAGGATAATTGTAAGTTTGACACCAATGTGGGCTGTATTTGGAGGCTACCTTAGTCACTATTCTGTTGCTGTGAAGAAATAGCAATACCAAGGCAACTCTTATAAAGGAAAGCATTTAATTGAGGGCTTGCTTACAGTTTCAGAGGCCTGTTATTATCATGGCAGGAAGCTTGGCTGTAGGCAAGGCACAGAAGCAGTAGCTGAGGCCTACATCCTGCTCTGCAGACAGAAGGAGACACTGGGCTTAGGCTTTTGAAACCTCAAAGCCTCCCACACTCCAGTGATATACTTCTTCCAACAAGGACTTTCAGATAGTGCTACTCACTGATGACTAAGCATCCAAATATGAGCCTATGGGAGCTACTCTTTTTTGTTTTTGTTTTTTCGAGACAGGGTTTCTCTGTATTGTTTGGAGGCCGTCCTGGAACTAGCTCTGTAGACCAGGCTGTCCTCGAACTCACAGAGATCCGCCTGCCTCTGCCTCCCGAGTGCTGGGATTAAAGGCGTGTGCCACCAATGCCCGGCTGGGAGCCACTCTTAATTCAAATCAACATACTATCTCAAAAAACAAAAATTCCAATGATAGAACTGTATGCTAACATAACAATTTGTACATTTGTTATTCAACAAATATTTTAGAATTATAGTAGATATCTTACCTGCTGAGCCATTTTGCCTTCTTTTGGGGGGGGGAGGGAGACAATCATGCTATGTATCCTGGGCAGACCTGGAAATTTTGTAGATCAGGCTGGGATTAGATATTAAAGGTATATGCCACTATTCCTGACCTAACTTTGATTTTTGTAAGATTGAAAGAGGGAAGGAACAAAGAAAAGTACAGTTTACTGACAGTTGGATACGTAGATACAGGTTAGCTGGTAGTGATATTTTCTCAAATATATATAGCCTCAGTAAAGGAGAAGGCAGTGCCAATTTATCTTTTGTCCTCTTGTATCAGAGTAGATACGGTGCAGGAGGGTGGGAAGGCAATGTGCTTTCCATTATGTTCTCTTTTCAATTCCTTTTAATTTCTTCGTGTGTTACAATTCTACAGATGCTTTCTTTTCAGTTTAGCAACCCTTGAAAACTGAATTGTTCAGGATATATTTGGCATTAAAATACACAATCCCAGCACTCAGGAGGCAGAGGCAGGCAGATCTCTTGAGTTCAAGGCCAGCCTGGTCTACAGAGAAAGTTCAGGATAACCAGGGCTACACAGAGAAACCTGTCTCAAAAAATAAAAAAACCCCACAACAATAACAACAACAACCCCCCAATTTCAGATCTCTGTGAGTTTGAGACCAGCCTGGTCTACAAAGAGCTAGTTCCAGACCAGCCTCCAAAGCCACAAAAAAACAACAAAAAGCCGGGTGTTGGTGGCGCACGCCTTTAATTCCAGCACTCGGGAGGCAGAGGCAGGCGGATCTCTGTGAGTTCGAGGACAGCCTGGTCTACAGAGTGAGTTCCAGGACAGCCTGCAAAACCACAGAGAAACCCTGTCTCAAAAAAAAAAAAAAAAACCAACAACAACAACAAAAAAAAAAAGAACATAAATTTTGCTGGGTGGTGGTGTTGTATGCCTTTAATTAATCCTAGCACTTAGAAGGCAGAGGCAGGCGGATTTCTGTGAGTTCTAGACCAACCTGGTCTGCAAAAGCTAGTTTCACAGAGAAACCCTGTCTTGAAAAACCAAAACCAACCAAACAAATAAAAAAACCCAAAACCCACAATTTGAAGATGTGCTCCCTTTTGCATACAGTCTTAATGTTTCCCAGACTGACCTCAAACTCCTGTTCTCAAATGGTCCTACTGTCTTCTCTGTTTTAGTCTTTTTACCATTAGTCACAAATAGTGTGGTTTATTTTGCATGAAATATTAATATTTTTCATGTTGTTTTCTGAGGCAGAGTGTAATGCAATGTAAGCTGGCCTCATAAACTCCTGATCCTCAGCTATGCCCTAAAGCTATCGTTATAGACTGGAGTTACCAGGTACAGCCGTGATATTAGATTATGGAGAGTCATAGCGTACAGTACCTGTGAAAGTGTGCTGCCTGGTGTGTAATATGTGAATTGTATTTGCTTTTTAAAGGCAGTTTAAATTCTAAAATGCCTTATCTTAAAGATGTGGATAGGGTACCAGACCTATATAGTTAATTAGAAATGAGAAAAAAAAGGATACTTAACTGAAATATATAGTATATTTGAATAAGGTATAAGTTTATATGTGTATATGTTTTATATGTGTGCACAAACACATAAAACGTTATGTTTTTAAGTTCTGACAGCACCATTTAATTTTCCTCTGCTAGGAAGAAAAAAGAGATGACAAGACAGAGGAAAACATAAAGACAGAAGAACCATCAAGTGAGGAGAGTGATCTAGGTGAGCGCTTGCTAACATGTCAGATAACGTCGGTGACTCAGTCCTGTAGTGGTGTCTTTGTTTAGCAGTTCGTTTTTGATGCTGCATCTCGGCTTGTAGCCCAGGATGATCTGGAACTGTATATCACAGGTGACCTGGACTTTAAGGCAGTCTTGCCTCGGTGTCAGGTAGCTGGTTTTATTTACTAGTTTGGTTATAATATTGACCTACAGACTTTTTCCTGTGTTTTACAGAATTTGTCTATACCTGATTTTAAAGTTAGTTTTATTAAAATGAAATAGTATTTTGTTGTTAGGTCCATTTATTCTCTATAACTTGTATTGTCTGCATAAATGTCTTTAAAAGCATTGTAGTACATCTTTGGAAAAAATTTGAGAAGCTTACTAATTTGCTAACGGGGAAGGTTTTGTGGAGGTCAGAGAACAACTTTTTTTTCTAAGATTTTATTTATTATGTATATATACAGTGTTCTGTCTGCATGTATGGCAGCTGGTCAGAAGAGGGCACCAAATCTCATTGTGAGCCACCATGTGGATGCTGGGAATTGAACTCAGGACCTCTGGAAGAAGGCCAATGCTCTTAACTGCTGAGCCAGCTCTCCAGCCCCCTCCCCCAAGATGGCAATTCATGGGAGTTATTTTTCTCTTTCACCGAGTGAATTTCTAGGGGAGGAACTCAGGTTCAGGCTTTGGAGTAAGACCTGCTGAGTCATCTCTCCGGCCCAAAGTCTTTCCCAAGTGAATTTTGGAGACTGACTAAATCAGTGGTGTGTTTTTATGTAATACCCTGTGCACATTACTACAATAACTATCTGATTTGGCCCAAGTAGTAGTCTCTCTCGCTTTTTTTTTTAAGTTTTCATTTGTGTACAGGTGTCTGCATATGGGTCTCTATACCATATGTATACCTGTTGGCTCTCAGAAGCCAGAAGACATCAAATCCCCTGGAATTGGAGTAAATGGATGGTTGTGAGTCATCACATGGGTGCTGGGACCTCTGGAAGAAGGCCAGTGCTCTTAACCACAGAGCCATCTCTCCAGCATACCCCTAAGTAGTAGGCTTACCTACTAATAGTTACTAGTAATTATTTTTAACAGGCAAGTATTTTGTAAAGATTTAGAGTTCAAGTTAAACTAGCTCATGTTATAGTAGCAACTAGTTCATTGTCTTTCTGAGGTGTTTATAATATCTACAATGTCCAACACACTAGGCAAGTTCATCTGATTTTAATAGTTTCAAGTAAGTAGTGGCTATATCACACTTTTTATTTAGGTTTTAATTTCATGTTTTTAACTTTTGCAGAAATTGACAATGATGGTGTAATTGAGCCAGACACTGGTGCCCCTCAAGAAATGGGAGATGAAAATGCAGAGGTAAATTTGATGACTTATTTTAGGAAAGTAAAGTTCCTCAGTTTTGGGATTATTTTATAACACGACTCGCAAGAATTGCATAATAAGTCTTTGACTTACAGCATTTTGACACATTTTTCAGTCTTACTATCTAAAATATTTGTGAATTCCCATGGTGGTTTTAATTATAATCTCTGAAATCTTGTATTTTGTTTTACTTCTTTAAATTTACTTCAGTTTGATTAGTCAGTAAAATTGTTCCCTTAAAGTATATACCTACAATTACAAATGTCTTTTTCTAAGATGATTTTTTAAATTTTATGTGTATGAGTGCTTTGTCTGCAAATATGTCTGTGTACCATGTACATGTCTGATGTCCAGGGAAGCCAGAAGAGGGTGTTAATATCCTGGAACTAGAGTTACAGATAATTGTGAGCCACCATGTGGTTGCTGGGACTTGAATTGAGGTATTCTAGAAAAGCAGCCAGTGCCCTTAACTATTGAACCCTTTAGAATTGCCTTTTTTGTGTGTGTGTGACTGTTTTTATAACAACCCTGGTTGTGCTGGAGCTTGCTTTGTATACTGGGCTGGCCTCGAACTCACAGAGATCTGTCTGCCTCTGCCTTCCAAGTGCTGGGATTAAAGGCGTGTGCCACCAATGCCCGGCCGTCCTTTTCCTTTCTTATGCTTCTCCTTTCTCACTTTTTGTTTGTTTGGACAGGGTCTCTTAGCTTAGGCTTACTTGAAAGTTTTCGCCCTAGCTACCCAAATGCTCTAAATAAAGGTCTTGTCGCTATGCCCAATTGGGGATGCTGGTGATGAAATCCAGGGCTTTGTACATGCACTCAGTCAACCTAAATCTGAAGCTCTCCTTCTAATTATTCATTCACTGATTTACTTATTAATTTATTTGAGCATTTTACATGGCCCAGACAGTTCTCAAACAAAATGATCCTATAGCTTCAATCTCCCAACTGCTAGTATTGCAAGAGTGGTATCATCATGCCCAACTCTAAAGCTTTGTATTTTGTTGATTCACTCAGCCTTTATTGAAGTTTCTGTAGACTAGGCTGGCCTTGAACTAACTCACAGAGATCCACCTGCCTCTGCCTCCCGAGTGCTGGGATTAAAGGTGTGAGCCACCCATGCTCAGCTGGAATTTGTTTATTAAGTGTTTATTTATTCTGTGTGTGTGTGCTTGGAGGTCAGACCTTTTACCATATGGGTCCTGGAGGTCCAGACTCATATCTGGCTAGATGGCAAGCACCTTTGCCTGCTGAGACAGCTCATCAGCCCAGGTATGAATTTTTAGGAGTGCTTTCCCCTCTCCATCTCTGCTTGACTTTTCCCTTGTGTGAAGAAAGTTTAGCTCTTACTTACTGTTTGTCAGTGTAGGCATTTCAGATTTGAGATTCATTTGAAGTTATGTTGGCTAACCCATCCTCATTGTCTTCATCTGAATATAATAATATACTCTGTGTGTGGTGTTGTTAAAAGAAGCTTTCCTTGCTAGCCGCTTTGGTTTATCACCCGTCAGTCGCCTGGGCTCTGCCGAGTTGTAGTCCCCAAATAACACACAAGACGCTGTATTAATTATGAAGCTTGTTGGCCTTGCTTGTTTCTTACTGGCTAGCTCTGACTTAAGTAATTACCCCATAATTGTTAATCTAAGTATTTCTCTTACCGGAGAATAGTTCCGGGCTTCCTACCCCATGGCGGTTACATCTCGAACTCCTGTGTTTCTCCTTCCCAGAGTCCTCCTGGACTCCTAGTTCCTCCTATCTAGGTTTCCTATTGGCTCAACAGTACTTTATTGACAAATGCACAGGACTTCCCCCAATACCTCCTCTTTTCTGTTTAAACAAAAAGAAAGGTCTTAACTTTAACACAGTCAAATTGTGTATAACAGAACGGTTATCAAATAAGAACATAGTTACAATATTTTAGCAAGATTTAAAGAAAATATCATCCATACCATCCTTGTGAGTTCAAAGTTCTATATGTAACTTATCTTTTATCATAACTAAGGAAAACTATAATTATAACTATCTGTCTTCAACTCCATCAAAGACCACAGAAGGATAATATATAAACACTAGGATTGGTAGAGACATCTTGCTACCTGGACAGTCACCCGAAGTTCCTCTGTAATGTTGGGGCATCCATCTTCAGCCCATAGGCCACAATGTGTCTGGAACATTTCTCAGCAAAGCAGGAAATTTCAAACTGTCCATCTGCATCGGCAATCTGTCAGTCATTTTTCTGTGTCCTGCAGAAAGTCTCGTAGACTCTTTCATGAAGCAGGAACCTGTAAGACTGAGTTCAGTAGTCACTTTTCTGGGTCCTGCATGTCCAGATTATACAACAACAGTCAAGCAGTACAGGCAAGAGCAGTTTCTTGCCCAAATGGCTAATCTTGCCATGTTGAAAGCAAACTCCATAACAAGTTTCTTTGATGCCCATCTTCCTCTCAGACGTAATTGGTGCTGCCAGGAGCAGACATTTCTCATTATCAGGAAAAACCCTAAACCATTTTAAATGCCATTTTCTGAAGGTCTTTGAGAGGTTTGAAGACTGTTTATCTATCTCAAATATATTTCTGTATATCTAGAAAACCTAACTTACTTAACTATAAATTCTAACTATTATAAGTAACTATCTATAATCTGTATTCAATTATGCATTACGTTGTAAAAGATCAGTATAAGCACAATTCTTAATCAAGAGGAGAAATATAGACATCACAAAATTGACCTTGAATTTGTATCAATAAATGAAAAACAATACCCATAACATTCCCTTTTTTACCATTAAAAAAGATTGGCTGTGATCACTAGCCAATTATAAACAATCCCATTTAAATGAAAACAAAGATTTATAAACAAGATGGGAATTAGGACGTCGCTCATTCCAAACTGCTTCATGCTGGAAGGGGGCGCTGTTTATACCATGGGGATCATGACAAAACTCAGAAACCTGTATAAGTCCTTATTTTTGTGGTCTGTAAAGCTGCATCATCTTAGCTGTTTCAGTTGTTGGAACACTTGGTCCACTGCTTCCGGGGATCTTGGTTCATCAAACCATAGAAGCCTGGAAGGAATCCTCAGCTTTTCATTTTCTGTAGAAACATAAGTAAAATCTCCTTTCCCAAGTAACATATCCTTATACTTAAATTTTGAAGTCAAGGCATTTTTAAAAGATATAAGTTGGATTAATTCAGCAGCATTTATAATCAAGTGTACTTTAGCAGTTCCTTCCTGAGTAATCAAAAAACTGAAAAACACAATAGCGTGCAGTATCCAGACTCTCTGTGTATTTTCCATCTTTACGTGGCTTATTTATTTATTTATTATTACTTTATTTCTTTCACTTTTATTTATTTTTCTCTGAGACAGGGTTTCTCTTTGGAAACCTGCCTGCCTCTGCCTCTGGAGCAATTCCTACCAGCGTGCGCCACCACAGCCAGCTTCTTTATTTTTTTCTCTCAATCTTACGTATATTTTTAAACACACTGTAATCCTTTAGAGGTTTTGTTCATCCAAGTCTGACTTTACTGTAAATCTTTATGTTTTTCTGACCATGTGTCTTATCTGTAAAACCGCGGCTGTTTTAAACTGTCGTTTCCAAGATGGCGGGCGTAAGCGTGATTGCAGCTTACCGCCTCAGTCCATGCTGACATCCAGCAAAAGCTGCCACTTCCAGCTGTACGTACACACCTTTCAATCGTTAGCAGAGTCTCTTAAAAGAACCTTGCTGGTTTTTTTTTTTTTTTTTTTCTGTTTATGCCGAGTCAGGAAGACTCCGGTAAGCGAGCCACATGAATCTCGGCTTGTGGCTAGCAAAACAGAGCACACCTGAGAAAAATGCTACCAAAATCTGTGCTTCTCTCCGTTCTTCTGTTTCTAAAATTCCTTTAAATCTTTTGTTATTTTGTGTGGAAATTCAATCCCACTTCTGACACCATTCTGTTAAGATGGTGTTCTGCATTATCTTCAAAAAAAAAAAAGTATCAGGGTACTAGGTTTGACATTAGCTTACAAAGGGTGAATTGCAGCCTTTCTTGTGGATTGTTTTGTTTTTTTAATGTTTCTGCATTCTTCAAGTGAAGACTGCTTATTTTTTAAAAATTTGCTAATTGTCTCAAATTACCCTGGCATTGCATATGGTTTGCTGTTTAGTTATTTCAACTGTTTCTGACTTTGTTCTTAAAAGCATGTTTTATAATTTGTCATAGAATTTAATAAATAGCTTAGAAGTAGATCAGAATATTTCAATAAATACAATTAACATGATATAGATCTAACAAATTTACTTTCTCTTTAACACAAAACTATTTTTCAAGCATGGCATGATAATTTCAGTACATACATATACACAGTGTATACTGATCAAATCAAAGTAATTATCCTTTTTCATTTCATAAAGACAGATTGAAATAGATTGTTTGACCATAGGTATTCTGTCCTATCCCATTTCCCTCTTGAATACAGACTTGTAACAAGGTCAGCATGCCATAGGCACACTCCGATATCTATGCCTAGTGCAGTCCTGTTCACAATAGACCAAGTTAGGGACTTGGCCAGTTGCTTCTCAACAGGTAAGTGGGTTCTTCTATTGCTGTGAAAAGACACCATGGCCAAAGCAACTCTTAAGAGAGAAAGCATTTAATTGGGGACTTGCTTACAGTTTCAGGGGTTCATTATCACATGGCAGGGACAGGCTGCTGGAGTAGTAGCTGAAAACTTTACATTCTGAGCCATAGGCAGCAGGGATAGAGGCACTGGACCTGGTTTGGGCTTTTGAAACTTCAAAACTCACCCCCAGCAACACACCTCCAACAAGAACACATCTATTCCAACATGGCCATACTTCCTAGTACTTCTCAGCTAATTAACTGGTCTAAGCATGCAAATAAATGGGCCTATGGTGTTCATTCAACCCGAAGGAAATGTGTGTATACACAGTGGAGTTTTACTAAACCATAAAGAAGAATGAAATTATACTGTTTGTTGGAAAATAGGTCCATCTGGAAATCCTGTTAAGTAAAATATTTCAGACTCAGTGAGACAAATACCATAGTTTCTTTGACTTGTGTGTCCTGGGTTGCATATATACATAAAGCCATTGTTATCTATGTGACGTAATTTTACTTTTTCTTTTTTGTGGAGGTCTTATGTGGCCTTGGAAACTTTTATAGGCTTGGCTTGTGTTTTATACAGTTTTTTTTTTTTTTTTTGGGAACTCTGACTTTGCTTTTTGTAGTTGTTTTTCCTCATAAATGTCTTATTCAGTAAACCAAGGTAGCCTTGGGTTTTGAGCAGTCTTCTGCCTCCGCCTCCACCTCCAAATGCCGAGATGAAGGTGTGTGCTACCACGCAGCTGGCTTGCTTGGTGTTTGTATGTTCTTGTTTTACAGATTGTGTAACTTGTCACTTCCATTGAATTTTCTAGTTAGCTTTCCTTTCTGTTCTTAGACATAGCAAATTATTTCCATCACCTTCTCCTGCTCTACCACCACCACCAAGACAGGGTCTTACTAATTATGTAGCTGCCGTTGTCCTGTAACTCATTGTGTTTACTAAGTTGGCCTTATTAGTTTATTTTTTAATTTTTTAAGATTTATATTTACTCTGTATACAGTATTCTGTCTGCATGGACACCTGCAGGCCAGAAAAGAGCACCAGCATTATTCTTGGTATTTATTCTCATAACTAGTATAAGTGCTCACAGTTTTTATGCGAAGAAAGGCATAAGACTTATGTCTTCTACAGTTCACTTTTTATGTAGAGATTGGATTTAATTTTCATGGAAAGTTCCATGGAGGAGGAAAGACAATTGGAAGTCCTGTCTAAGACAGGTTATCACTAGTTTTTCACTACTAGAGGCGAGCACATGAATGTGTAGATAGTGACTGTCATCCTCTAGAAAGTTCACATTGCTCCCTTCTCTTACTTCACTTCTTCAATTTTCTGTTAGATAACTGAGGAGATGATGGATCAAGCAAATGAAAAGAAGGGGGCTGCCATTGAAGCCCTAAATGATGGTGAGTAGTGTGTTCTTTTCGCTGTAGTTTTATAATAGTGTGAATATTCTACTGCGGTGACTGTAAATAGTGTGAGCATGAAGGGTTTGAGCTACCATCCTGAAGATGTTAGGTTCCTGCTGTCTAGCTATTCCCTTCCTCATGACAAAGAGTCTAAAGTGTTTCAGCATCAGTCACATTACCTCAGTATAGACAGATCTGACTTAGCCTCTTCCTGTATGTCCCATGACCTTTCTCTCCTCAGAAGCGGCTTTTAAAAAGATGAGAGAGGCCGGGTGGTGGTGGCGCACGTCTTTAATCCCAGCACTTGGAGGCAGAGGCAGAGGCAGACGGATCTGAGTTTGTGGCCAGCCTGGTCTACAGAAGGAGTTACAGAACAGACAGGGCTACCCTGAAGCTTTGTCTAAACAAAAACAAAAACCAAGACAGTGGTTTGGGCACACCTTTAGTCCCACAGCTCTCAGGAGACAGAGGGATCTATCTCTCTGAGTTTGAGATCAGTCTGGTATATAGAGCGAGGTCCAGGACAGGCTACACAGAGAACATCTGTCTTGAAAAAACAAAGTCCTGGCAATTCATAACTTTTGACATAATGTAATACCTTTCATAAGTAGTGGTCTTAGGTCAAACACTTGTTAAACTAAGAATATAGTCCCTGCATTTTAGGTCTTCAAAAAATTGCTATTGGTGGCAGCATACTGGCTTAACAGGCAAAGGGACTCATACCAAGCCTAGTTGATTTGACCTGAGGTTGATACCTGTGGTGGAAGGAGAGAACCACTTCCATAGGTTGCCCTCTAACTCCCATGTGTTCCTTGGCATGCCCCCTCCTGTTCTTGTCAGAAATTTAATTATTTTTTTTCAATGTTTGAAAGTTTTGTCTGCATCTATGTGTGTGCACCATGTGTGTGTCTAGTGCCGGTAGAAGCCAGAAGAGAGAATGTCAGATTCCCTGGAACTGGAGTTGCAGATGATGTGAGTCACCTTGTGGTGCTGAGAATGACACCTGAGTTTTTACAAGAGCTCTGAACCATTGAGCCATCTCTCACACCGCTAAAAATGTAATCAAGAATAAGATTATCAGAGTGGCTTGGTATTGTTTATGTTTAGTTAGAGTTAGAACAAGTGATCATAAACTTGGGACTGTTAGGACAATTACCAGTAACATTTAACACAGACTGCTTCATACCTTGGGTGGCTTGTCACTGTTGTCACTGTCATAGTTAGGTAATGCCGACAGTTAAGTCACGTGCTGATGCGCATTTGCACTTGATTTAGAAGATGACTCGAGTTTTATTTTAGGATGGGTTTAACATTGTTGTTCCGTATTGGCAGCTTGACTTTTTGGCGTTGGAGGATGGGGCTTGGATGGGGGAAGTGTTGGTCTCTGTATGTAGTAGAGCTAGCTCAGAACTTCCATTGTGCAGCGAGTCTGGCCTTTCCAGCCTTCCTCTTCCAGCCTCTGAATGCTGGGGGATTTTGGCTTTGGCACCATCCCCAGCTCTTTGTACCATTTTTTTTTTAAGTTTGGGTCCTTGTTACTTGATTATTCTTTATATTCTACTGTTTTCTTTTAATATTTTGAGGTTTTGGTTGATTTTTGGGGTTTTGTTTTTGTTTGTTTTGTTTTTTGTTTGCCTTTATTAAGGCCGCCATTTTATTCTTTTGAGGCAGGTTCATACTATGTTGCTCTAGTTGGCCTGGAACTCCCTGTGTAGACCAGGCTGGCCTCCCAACTCACAGAGAGCCACCTGTCTTGCCTCCTGAGTGCTGGATTAAAGGCGTATGATGCCTTCATACCCACGAACTGCTGTTGTACCTAAGGGCCAGTCCTGCATACAACATCTGAAGACTTACCATGATGTTCTTCCCACCTCCTGTGGTCAGACTGTAACTGTCTCTGTCTTTTACATTTTGTTTGTGTTTGTCTTTTAGAGATAGGGTCCTTTTGATGTAGTTTAGGCAACTCTCCAATGTAATCCTATTTCCTCAGTCTCTTCAGTACTGAGATTAGAGGCATGTGCAACTATGTAAAGTTTTGTTACTATGTTCCTTCACATGAACACACAGCATACACTGTGGTGGGATTGAGCACAAGGTCTCAGTTAAGTAGATAATAATCAAGTCCAAATCTTTGTTTTTGGTTTTTTTGTTTTGTTTTTAGTTTGGTGCTGTAGTGGCAGAGCATTTGTGTGGGACTGGCAAAGCCCTGGCTTTGAACTCTAGTACTGAGGGTAAAATGTTTGTTTAGAACATGGTATATCCCTGTTACCAGAAAGAATTACCTGTAACTAACATACATACATACATGTAGTAGTACTAATAAGACTTTTTTTTACTGTTTTTGTTTTTCTGAGACAAACTCAATATATAGTCCTGGCTATCTTAGAACTCATTATGTAGCCTTAGCTGACCTTAAACTTGCAGAGATTCACCTGCCTGAGTGCTGGGATTATTAAAGTTGTGTACCACCCCTCCTGGAAGAAGACTTTTTTGTGTGTTTTGTTATTGTGAAGTTTGCTGAAATCCCATATTCATTAATTGGGTACATATTTTAAGGTTCTAGTTGTCTTACCCCTGAGAATTAAACTGATCTACACAAAGAACTCTTCTAATTCTGTTTTTGTTGGATATCCTCTCTTAAAAGGGCTAGTTAGAAAAGAAAAGAAAAACAAAATTTTTGAGCCATCAAGATGGCTTAGTTGGTAAAGGTACTTGCGACCAGCCCTGACAATTTGAGTTCAAGCCCTGAGACTCCTATGATGGAAGGAGATAAACTTGTGAAAGTCGTTCTGGTTTCTCTGCATACATGCATACACAAATAAGAATAAATGAATGTGGGACCAGAGAGATGAAGTGATTAAGAATGCTTGCCATTCCCTCTGTCACAAGGACTAGAGTTAGGATCCTAGCACCCCTGTTGGGTGATACACAAATGTGGGTAAGTCCAGCTCAAAGGGATCCAATGCCATCTTCTGGACCCAACATGTGTGCATACATTTATAAACACACAGAGACAAATAATGGTAACTGTGAATAAAGCTAATGGCTTAAATGTCTCCATTTTTGTGCATTGAAGAAGTACTCTTGTTTTCTTATCAACCTTGTGAAATTAGTTGGACACTTAATCCTTTTTAAGCTTAATTCATCTTTCTAACAAGTAAAACTTAAGATGACTAGCATAAAATTAATGTGCTTATTATTTTTTTTACATTTACTTAGTGTTTTGGATATGTTTGTTTTTCTCAAGATAGGTTTTCTCTGTGTAATAGCTCTGACTTACCTGGAACTCTCATCTTTGATGCTGGAATTAAAGGAGTAGGCCACTAGTGCCCAGCAATGTTTTGGATTTTTAAAAGATTTATTTTTTTGTGTGTGTATATTTTTGCTTCCATGTATGTGTGTGTACCACATGTGTGCCTGGTGCCCTTGGAGGTCAAAACAGGGTCTTAGATCCCTTGGAACTGAAGTTAGAAATGGTTGTAAGCCACCTTGTGAGTGTTGGGAACCAAACCTGGGTCTTCTGCAAGAACATTAAGTTTCCTGACCATTGCTCCAGCTCCCCATTAATTTTTTGCTTGGGATTGGGGTACACATGCACACTTCTTGTGTAGAGGTCAGAGAGCAGCCTTCAGAAGTTCATTCACTGATGCTACCATGTGGGTCTTCTCTTTTGAGACAGGCTCCCTGTATAGTCTAGGTTTTCTGGGATTAATTGTGTAGCCTAGGCTTACCTCTAATTTGCAGTGCTCTGACTTCTGCTTCCTGGGTGCTGGAGTTTATAAATGTATATCATCTTGCTTTGTCTTTTTTCTTTAAAATTTTTTCTATTTTGTTTGTCTTGTTCTGTTTTTCAAGATAGGGTCTGTGTAAGGTTCTAGGCTATCCTGAAGCACCCTATGTAGACCAGCCTGGCCTCGAACTCACAGAGATCCGCCTGTTTCTGCTTCCCAAGTGCTGGAATTAAAGACCTGTGCCACCATACCCAACTCTTAAATGTTTTTAAACATTATTTTTATTATTCTATGTGTATGAGTGTCCTAGTACCCTTGGAGACTAGAATAAGGCATCAAATCTCTTGGAACTAAGGCTACAGATGGTTGGTTGTGTATCTTCTGAAATGGCAGTCAGTGTTGTTAATCACCGAGGTATCTCTTCTAGTCCCTTCTTTAAAAAATGTGACAGTGCTGGGTGTTGGTGGCACACGCCTTTAATTCTAGCACTTGGGAGGCAGAGGCAGGCGGATCTCTGTGCGTTTGAGGCCAGCCTGGTCTACAGAGTGAGTTCCAGTACAGCCTCCAAAACAATACAGAGAAACCCCGTCTTGAAAAACCAAAAAGAAAAAAATAGTTATAGTACTGACTTCCCAATGCAACGTTTCATGCTTATTTGAAAGTAAATGGCACTGAATATGTCTCTCATCTCCACTAGTCTTTTCTCTTTTTAAAAAAATAGACTGAGGAAAGAATATATAATTGTTAATCAGAATAAAAAGGCAAAGTATTTTATTAATGTTTTTGTCCTTTGGATATTTCTTAGTAAGTTTTATTTAACCTCAGGTGAGCTGCAGAAAGCCATTGACTTGTTCACTGACGCTATCAAGCTAAATCCTCGATTGGCTATTCTGTATGCCAAGAGAGCCAGGTAAGAACACTTAAGTACAAAAGTACCTTTTGTAGACTTCTTATAATCCTTTGTTTAAATAGTTTTGATTTTGTAGAAAGATCAAAGGTTTTATTGTTTGAAATGAATTGTACCTTCATTTTTTAGTGTTTTCGTCAAATTACAGAAGCCAAATGCTGCCATTCGAGACTGTGACAGAGCCATTGAAATAAACCCTGATTCAGCTCAGCCATACAAGTGGCGAGGGAAAGCACACAGGTAAATGAGCAAAGAGGTCTGGGGAAATAGGTGTTACAGTGCTTGGAGGACTGAGTTTGGCCCATAGGACCCATGATTTAAAAAGCTGGGTGTGGCTGGGTAGTGATGCTGCACACCTTTAATCCCAGCACTCAGAGGGAGAGGCAGGTGGAGCTCTCAGCCTGGTCCACAGAGTGAGTTACAGTACAGCCAAGGCTACACAGAGAAACCCTGTCTGGGGGAGAAGGGGCAAAGAATCAAAGAGAGACAATTCTATATTGAATACACAAGCCTGAACTTCTTTATTCATTACTGGACCTTTCAAAAATAATATGGATAGTCTAGTAATCATTTCTAGTGGTAAAACTTAGTGCTTCACATTGTCTTAGGGAAGTCCAGTGACTTTCAGGTGGATTGAGAAGCAGGTGTAGGTCAAATGTGAATAGAGATGAGAATGGGTGTTCCTTTGGTGTTTTTTTTTTTTTAAGATTTACTTATTATGTAACAGTGTTCTGCCTGCATGTACATCTGCATACCAGAATAGGGCACCAGATCTCATTATATATTGCTGTGAGCCACCATGTGGTTGCTGGAAATTGAACTCAGGACCTCTGGAAGAGCAAATAGTGCTCTTAACCTCTAAGCCATCTCTTCAGCCCTTGTTTTTGTTTTTCAATGTTTCTTTTTGAAGCAGCGCTGGCTGTCCTGGAACTCACTTTGTGGACCAGGCTTGCCTCGAACTCAGAGATCCACCTGCATCTTTCTGTCAAGTGCTGGGATTCAAGGCATGGTGCCACCACTGCCTGGAGAGAAGGGATGTTCTTGGCACAAGTCTATTAAAGACTCATAGTAATGAGTTTTATGAAGGGAAGTCAAAGAGAAAGGGGAAAGGTTGAAATAAAGTGTATTAATGCTGTGTAGGTGCAGTAGATACCCACGTTGTTGGTGTCTTTGAGGTTAGCCACTAGTCCTCACGTGGTGCTTTGTGGTCTAGTACCAGCATGGGCTCCTCTTGTACACTGACTGGTTTGAGATTTAGAATAAGCTATTTTCCTAAGAAACCTTAGTTCATTTTTGTGGACACTAAAATTGTGTGGTAGGGTACACACACACACTCTGTTACTGTCTTTACTGTTACTTCATTAAACAACCAAAAAATAATCTCTATAAATTCATGATTTGAATGAAGAATTTGTAAGTTGAGATTTTCAATTAAAAATTAAATGTTTGCCTTTTAAGTCTTTGTCCTTAAGTGATTTTCTAAACTTATCATATATATTAACAATGTTTCATAGTTACTAACTTAGCATAGTGCACCCTCCAAATAAATTGTAAAGGTTTTCTTGGCATCAAGGTTGTCTTTAAGAATATAGCCCATTTAAAATATGTGGCTAAAACAAAATATTTAGAAAATTAATTTCAAGATTTGTGTGTGTGTATTTGTCTTGTGAATGTGAAAGTCTTATTTCTGTTTATATTTGGGTTTAGGGTTTTTATTGCATTTATCTTGAGAAGATAGGAATTTTTCATGTCATGGTTTACATGGTCTCCACCTCATTTTCAACTGCCTCTCTGCCCCGGTTTTTTAGTTCTGAGTACTGGTTTCGATTGCTTTCTCAATAAAGCAGGCACATGTGTATGACTTTGACCTTCAAGCCTACATAGAACATACCATGTGAGTGTCATGTTAGAAAATTACTACTTTACCTCCTTCTTTTAAATACATCAGAATTGTCATTGTAGAAATTTTAGTTCCTTCAGGCTTTGAGAAAACCATCACAATAAGATAGTGCTTAAATTGGTGATAAAAATTCGTAGTTAATTAAGTGAAAACTTTCTGTTTTTGGTTTTTGTAAGTGACTCTTTCAATGAGTTTGCATCTATTTCAGACTCCTGGGTCACTGGGAAGAGGCAGCTCATGATCTTGCCCTTGCCTGTAAACTGGATTATGACGAGGATGCCAGTGCAATGCTGAAAGAAGTTCAGCCTCGGGTATGTCGGAGCGTTACTTAAGACTATGGCTTTGTTCTTGGCCTGGAACGTATAATCCTCTGAAAAGCAGGAGATGAAGCATGTAGAGGTTAAAAGTCACTTGGAATCCTCACTAGTATGTCATGTTTCCATTTTGAACACTGCCAGAGAATAGGCTGTCTGACTTTTCTGCAAGACTTCAGTGGAATAACACAAAATCAGAAAAGTGGAGTACACACATCTTAATCCCAGCACTTGGGAGATGGAAGCAGGCAGATCTCTAAGTTCCGGCTATGTAGAGAGACCCTGTCTCAAAAAGGAAAGAAGGGTAAGGTTTACAATAAGGAAAGCAGCTGAACACCACAAAATGTGCCCCAGGGTTATGTTTGACATCTGCACTGCCCGTCTGTAATAGGCGTGTGCAAAGGAGCAGCACCTCTCGGAGGTGAATTTCAAGTTCAGTTTTTTTTTTTTTTTTTAAACCTCTTTACTACTGATAAGTTTTGCTTTTCAAGACAGGATTTCTCTGTGTGTAGCTCTAGATCTTCTGGAACTCTGTTTGTGTAGACCAGGCTGGCCTGGAACTAGCAGAGATATGCCTTTCTCTTCCTCCCAAGTGCTGGGATTAAAGGTATGTGTCTCCACTGGCTCCCAAAGGTTGGTGTGTTTATTTGTTTGTTTGTTTGTTTGTTTGTTTTTAATGAAAATCCAAAAGCTATAGAACCTTTATGTACAAGTCTTTTGTTTGGCTCCTAAGACAGAATCTCACTGTGTAGCAGTCCTGGCTGTCCTGGACTGTGTAGACCAGACTGGCCTCAAACGCAGGGATGACCTACTACTCTGCCTCCCAAGTGCTGGGAGTAAAGGAGGCGCGCGTGCACGCACACACACACACCGCGCGCGCCTTTTGAAATTTTTATTACTGTAAACTTAGCAAATGTTGAAAATATTCTAAAACATAAAGTTCTTAAAAAGTATTTGTATGGACACTAAAGTAACATTTGAATACTAACTGTTCATCTCCAAAGTATTTGAAAGGCCTGTTTCCACCCCACCCGCCCATCCCTTTTAGGGTGGTTCTAGGGGTCAAACACAGGGCCTTGTGAGTGTTAATCATGTACTTACCATACAACTATACCCCAGTGTCCAACATGAATTATTTCTGGCCATATCCCCCATTTTTTAATGAATTGTTCTATTTTATGTGTATGGGTGTTTTGACTGCATGTGTGTCAGGGTACCATGTTCCTGCAGTGCTTTCAGGGGTACAAGAAGACATTGGTCTGTCTGGAACTAGAGGTAAAGACAGTTGTAAGCTGCTGTGTGGGTCATAAAAATAAGACCCAGGTCCTCTGCAAGAGCAGTCAGTGTTCTTAACCAGCTCCACCTAGCCCCCGTTTCATACATGAAAGAACTTTAAATAGAGACAGACTGGCAAAAACTTGGTATGTGTTTTGAGTATCTGCCTTACTTTGGCAGGCATTTTTAATGTTAGTTTTTCTGCTGACTGATCTGTGACTTGTAAGTCCTGGGTACTATGTATTGGGTATAAGCCTTCAAGTAAGAATTGTCCTAAAATTTGTAATGTATTTATCCTTGAGCTTTGTCATTTGTTTGAGATTAGAAATTTTCTCTTTATTGTATTTTAATAACTTTTTTTTTCATTTATTTTACATAGTGACCTCCGCTTCCCCTCTTCTCCCCTTTTCTCTTTTTTGTTTCATAGTGTGTAATGCAGCTGACATTGCACTTAAAGCATGACTTTGTTTGGTCATGTTTGATGAGTTCACTGGCTTATGTTAATTATACACAATGGTTTTCATTTACATGTTGTCTTAGAGTTCTGTTGTTCCAAAGAGACACCATGATCACAGCGACTCTTATAAAGGAAAGCATTCAGTTGGGGCTCACTTAACAGTTTCAGAGGTTTAGTTCATCATCTTGGTGGACATGGCAGCCTGCAGGCAGACATGGTGCTGGAGAAGAGCTGAGAGTTGTACATCTTATCTGCAGGCAGCAGGAAGGGAACTGTGTCCCTGGGTGTAGCACATATGAGACCTCGAGGCCCATCCCTACAGTGACATACTTTCTCCATAAGTCTACTCTTCCTCGTCGTGCCACTCCCCATGGGCTAATGAGGTCACTTACATTCAAACTACCACACGTGTACACAGTGTATTTTGATCATTCTTGTTCCCGTTACTCTTTTCCATTCTCCCTCTCTAGCTAGTTCCTCTTCCCCCTTATGCTTTCATGTCTTTTTCTTTTTGACCATTGAGTTTTATTAGGGTTTCTTTATAGGAGCAGTGCTATACAAGTGTCTCTTCCCACCAGCAACCTTGAAGTACCTGTAACTCTTCAGAGTGGTATGGAACCTCCTTAGTTCTCCAGCTCTCATGAGTTAGGTTCTTTTTCTGTAAGATGAATCTGTCATTTCTTAGAGCTATTTAGTAAGGAAGTCACTATTAGAAGAAGGAACTCTTTGGTTTTTCAAGACAGGGTTTCTCTGTAGCTTTGGCTGCTGGCCTGGAACTTGCTTTGTAGACCAGGCTGGTCTTGAACTCACAGATCCGCCTGCCTCTGCCTCCTAAGTGCTGACATTAAAAGCGTGCACCACCAACGCCTTTCTGGAGGAAGGAACAAAACTTCTCTTGACTTTATCAGACATTTCAGGCATATTTATTTCCTGTGGTTCTTCTTTCCAGGCACAAAAAATTGCTGAACATCGAAGAAAGTATGAACGCAAACGTGAAGAGCGAGAGATAAAAGAAAGAATAGAAAGGGTGAAGAAGGCTCGAGAGGAGCATGAGAGAGCCCAAAGGGTAAATTTCTATAGCTAACCTAGTAGATGAGACCTCAGGACACTGTTCTAATCTGTCTTTCCATGATGGCTGCAGAGTGTGGGGTGACTGCTCTCGACAAGAGTCTCCTTTCATTTTGTCCTTTCTGTCTGATTTTAGTTTCTAAGGTTTTGTAAGCTTGCATTTCACCAATTTACATTCATTTTTTCTTTTAAATTTGCAAATTTGGGCCAAGAATATAACATGTAGAACACTTCCCCAGCAGCAACCCTTTCCCCCATCCAAACTCAAAGTTTCCTGGCCAGGTTAATTAAATTTTGATGGTACTATTTATTTTGTGTGGGTACTAGTCCTTCCCCATGGGATTCTTCCCCTGTGTTTTTCGTATGATTCCTAACTTTCCAACTGTAGATTCATGACTATCTAAAAAGATTCTAGCTATACATCTATAATCCCATCATTCCAGATGCTGAAGTGGGGGGACTTTTAGTTTAAAATCACCACTGGCTATATAGTCTTGTCGCAGGGGTTAGGAAAAAGTTTGTTTGTTTCATAATTATACAGTTGTATTGTAGAAATGTAGAAAGATTTTTGGTAGTTTTCCCAATATTGTTAATACTCTTGGATTTCTGTTGAAGGTTGAGGTACTGGGGAAAAAAGCTTTCTTTGTTGTTGTTTTTCTATTGTTTTATAATTTGTTTTCATTTTGTCTTCAAGGAAGAAGAAGCCAGAAGACAGTCTGGAGCTCAGTATGGCTCTTTTCCAGGTATTTTAAAGGAAAACCTCTTAGTGTTATAAATAATTAAGCTATCTCCTGATTTTGAAGCCCAGGCCTGTTTATATATGGGGAGAGATAGATAGTTCTTAAAACTCCAAAGAATGTTAATCTTTGTAAAGTTCATTTTCATTAACAGGTTTTTTTGTTAATGGGATAAAAACATTATTTTCCCCCTATATTTTGAGTTATAATACGCTTTAAGGAAAGTTAATAATTGTTGATTGCTGAGTTTGTTTTTTTGAGACAGGGCTTCTCTGTAACTTTGGAGGCTGTCCTGGAACTTTCCCTGTAGGTCAGATTGGCCTCGAACTCCTGCCTCTGGCTCCTGAGTGCTGAGATTAAAGGCCTGTGCCACCACTACCTGGCCTAATTGCTGAGTATTTTACTTCATGTGATTTATTATAATGTAATCTGCTTGTTTCTAAACCAGTAAGATTATGTCCTGTTGCATGTGATAATATTTATATTCCTGAGGATACTGCCTAAAGATATAGGGCTCTCAGAGCAATTATGCTGTACGCCTTTAATTGGAGCACTCCGGAGGCAGAGGCAGGTGGATCTCTGTGAATTTGAGGCCAGCTTGGTCTACAGAGTGAGTTCCAGGACATCCAGGGCTACACAGAGAAACCCTGTCTTGAAAAAACAAAAAAGTAGAGCTGGAGTAATGGCTCGATGGTTGAATAGCCTCTGGCTGTTCTTCACAAACCCAGGTCCAGTTCCCAGCACTCGTGTGGCACCTCACAGCTGGCTGTGACTCTAGTGTCAGGAGAATCCAGTGTTGTCTTTGTGTCTTCAAAGCAGCAAGAATGTATGTGATGTAGATGTGTATAGGTGCATATATGCATATATAATACATGCAGACAAGATACTACTAAAATACAAAACTTAAAAAGAAAGAGAATTTGGGCAAATAAGTATTTTAAGTTCAGTATGAAAAGAGAATATGGCTTGGCGTGGTGGCTTGTTGTAGGATATTATTTTAAGGTGTGTTACTTTTGTTTATACTGTGAAACACTTGTTTAATGAAGTAAAGATGTGTTGCTTTTTTTATGCTGCATTTGTTTAACTCTGTGAAGCTGTGGTTCGTTGCATGTCTAACATACCTATTTGGTCTAATAAATGCAGAATGGCCAATGATGAGGCAGGAGAAGGCTAGGCGGGACTGGCAGGCAGAGAGATAAATAGAAGGGGAAAGAAGGAGCAACAAGAAAAAAAAAGAAGAGAAGGATACTAGGGACCAGCCCCCCAGGCAGCTATGGAGTAAGATTTACAGAAGTAACAGAAACGTAAAAGCCGAGAGGCAAAAGGTAGACAGGTTAATTTAAGAACAGGTGGCAAGAAACAAGCCAAGCGAAGGCTGGGCATTTATAAGTAGTAATAGGTCTCTCCATATGTGATTTATTTGGTAGCTGGGTGTTAGTCCCCCCCAAAAGAGTAAAAGCCAGACAATAACATTTTGGTGTTTTCACCGTGAGGCCAGAGTAAAAGAAAATCCAACTACAGTGGTGCATGCTTTTAATCTCAGCACTCAGGAAGCTTCACATGGAACTTCACAAGGAGCTTCACAAGCACACAAGGAACTTCTTGAGTTCGAGGTCAAAATCCCGTCTTAAAATGTCTTAAAAATCCAGAGAGAAAGAATATGTCCCTCCTGTCTCTGTCTCCATCTCCCCCTACCTCCCTCTCTCCTTCTTCCTCTTCTTTTCTCATTTTTAAGAGTTCTTTGGATCCCCTGGACCTTGAATCAACAATTAATATTCAGTTGTGAGCCTTCCAGATTGAATGCTGGAAACTGAATTCTTCAAAGAGCAAGAAACACTCCTCTCTATCTACTGAGCTATCTGTCTGGGCCCTCTTTTCTTTCTTGCAAATGTACTATAATCAGAAATTAATACCAAAATAGAGGTTTTGAGTGTTAGCAAGGACTAGTGTTCAGATAGGTGGGAGGGCAAAGAAACTGAGAAAGAAGGTTTGCTGCCTCAAAGAGACAGTGTGAAGTTTATATACACAATGGAGTTTTTAAAATTGGATTTTGTTTGCTTAATAAAGGCTGTCTTCTGCTGGTTTTCTCTCAAAGTAAATTTAGGCACTCATTTATGCTTATATACCATTGGGTAGAACCATTTATTTCAAAGCTAGAAAATATAACTTATCCAGGCAGTGGTGCCAGAGTTTTGTGAGTTTGAGACCAAGCCTGGTCTACATAGCAAGTTCCAGGACAGCCAGGTATACACAGAGAAACCCTGTTTCAAAGAAGTAAACCAAAAAAGAAAACAAAATAGAACATGTTCATCAATGTTAAGAAAATTGAAAGATTATAGCTCATAGCTTACTTCTAGCTTAAAATACAAATCTGCTACCAGTTTGCTTTGTTATAGAGAAAGCTTTATTAACATGAACTAATACTAGATACAGCTCTTCTCTATCTAATTTAGCATGCTTTGCTCGAGTAATTTTTTTCATGGGACGGAACTGATCTTTGAAAGCCATGAGAACAACTGCAGAGAAGCTTAGAAGTTTGTTTTTCCTATCCCCTCCTTGGGTTACTAATGCTTATTGTTGAGCATGGTAGAAATGACAGTTCATTGTGTTTACTTATTACAGCTTTACTTGTCATGATTCTGCGTCTGTAGAATACATTAATATTATGTAGTTTTCTGCCCTATTTTGACATAATTATCATTTCATAATGTTTCCAGTAGAGCTGGAGAGTTGATGCTTCAGAGGTTAAGAGAGCATGCTGTGCAGTCTTGTGGACTGGAGTTCAGATCATGCATTCAAATAATAAACCAAACAACAGAAACCCAGGACTCCAGTTCCAAGGGCTCTAATGTCCTCTTCTGGCATCAGGGTTCACATAGGCATGTATACCCATATTCACATACAAATGGAATCTTTGAAAAATAGAAGTAGAAAATAACGTGGTTTTACAATAGTTGTTTTTGCTAGAGAATTACTCTAGAAGGAATCACTAGGAATGCTTATTAGATGTGCATTCTGTCATGAATTTGAGGGTAGTCTGGACTACATGGCTGAGACCTCACCTAAACAGAACCCTCCCCCTATTCTAAACAGTTTTATGTTATCATTTAGAGATTTTGATAGTTTAGAATGGGACTCATAAATACATAGATTCACCACCTGTCATCTCAGATGGTCCTGGCTAGTTTTATGTCAACTTGATACAAGCTAGAGTCATCTGAAAGGAGGGAACCTCAAATGAGAGAATGCCTTTGTAAGATCCAGATGTAGGGCATTTTCTTAATTAGTGATTGATGTGAGATGGTCCAGCCCTTTGTGGGTGGTGCTATCTATCCTTGGGCTGCTGGTCCTGGGTTCTATAAGAAAGGCTGTGCAAGCCATGATGAGGAAGCCAATAAGCAGCACCATACACAGCTTCGGTCTCCAGCTTCCTGCCCTGTTTGAGTTCCCATCCTGACCATCTTCAATGACTAACAGTGATGTGGAAGTGAAGTGTAAGCCATATAAACCCTTTCCTCCCAAGCGTGCTTCTAGTCATGGTTTTTCATCACAGCAATAGTCACCCTAACTAGGACACAGACTTTAGGAGATAGAGGCTGTAGACTCAGGATTTCTAGGCAAGCTTCATCTACAGAGCAAGTTTTAAGCCAGTCCAGGAGTCCAGGCTCTACAAGACTGCCTCATCACTCAATAAACTAAAAAGAGAAAGAAATTAATAAGTTTTTATTACCGTATTTTAGGTAAGACTTGAGACATAACTGTTCTAGATAAAAGTCAAAACAAACAAACAAAAAAAACAAGCTTAGACTGATAGAAATTAAATTGAAACAGACAAATAATACTCAGGAGTGGGAAATTCAAAGATGATTGAGCCAGCATGATCATGCATACCTGCAGTTTTAGCATTGAGGATGCAGAGGGAGGAAATCAAGAGTTCAGAGCAGCCTGGTCAGTGCATAACATTCATTGCATTGAACTTCAAGGACAAGTTCTCTGTATAGAACACCTCATCTCTCTCCCACCACCCCACCCAAACACCCTCCAAATAAAAGAGAAAAAAAAAGCAATGGCCTGCCTGGCATTAATGTTTTGGGGGGACCAGCACATGTTGATTAATTTTAATACAAGAATAGTTTTGTTGAGCAGTTTTAAGTAATGAAAAACAAGTCCAAAGCTGGGCGTTGGTGACGCACGCTTTTAATCCCAGCGCTAGGGAGGCAGAGACAGGCGGATCTCTGTGAGTTTGAGGCCAGCATGGTCTACAGAGCGAGTTCCAGGAGAAGAAGAAAAACAAGTCCAAAAAGGAGAAATGTCTGATTGACAGCTTTGCTTTAAGGAGAAATTAAAGTTATACCTGATAGCCTACTGTGCTGAGAATAGACTGTGCTGGCTGCCCATGGGTGTCCTTTTAACTCACATGCGTACTTGAGTATTGGAGAGGATCAATAGATACTTGTTGATGTCCCTAATTATTCCCTTTATTCTTGTAGGTGGTTTTCCTGGGGGAATGCCTGGTAATTTTTCTGGGGGAATGCCTGGCATGGGAGGAGGCATGCCTGGAATGGCAGGAATGCCTGGACTCAATGAAATCCTCAGTGACCCAGAGGTTCTTGCAGCCATGCAGGTAAGGTTTGGAAGAACAAAGTTGGGCTTTGATCATCAATGCTTTGCTTTTCTGTGATAGCAGCTTACTTTGCTATTTTTCCTCTTAGTTATCAATTCGCTAATTTTGTAGTCTGGCATTTTCCTAAATTGAGAGTAATTTTTTAAAGATTTATTTGTCTTGCTGGGTGGTTCTGGCTCACACCTTTAATGTCAGCACTCAGTAAGTAAAGGCAGGCAGATCTCTGTGAGTTCAAGTACAGCTAGCCTACACATCTCTGTCTCGAAAAACAAAACAAAAACATTATTTTTACTTCATGTCTATGAACATTTATTTGCATGTATATCTGTTCATTATATGCAAGTAGTACCCTTGGAGATCAGCATTACAGCCAACTGTGAGTCATCATGTGGGTGCAGGGAACCCAGCCCAGGTCCTCTATAAGAGCAACCAGGGCTCTTACCACTGAGTCATTTCTCCAGCCTCTATTTTTTTGTGTATATTTGTGTGCTTGTATTTATGCATGCCAAATGTGTTCAGGTATCCAGTACACACTGCCAGATCCCCCTGGAGTTGGAGTTACAGGCTGTTCATTGTAAGCTGCCTGTTGCCTGTCATAGGTCCTGAGAACCAAACTCAGGTCCTCTGGAAGAGCAGCAAGTACCCTTATGTTCTGTGATATTTTGATTGTGTTGTGACAAATAAAAGCTTGTGTGGTATCTGAGAAGCAGGGGAGTAGCCAGTGACTTCCTACCTCTTCTGTTTCTTCCTCCAAAGGAACAGAGATCCTATCTCAGCCCTGCCTTACTACTTCTTGTCTCCTATCTGTCTGTAGTCCTCAAACTTTTGGTCAGCTAGCTCCGCCCCTCTGACTCCAAGGAAGCTTTGTCACAACACAATCAAAATATCACACACCCCCATTAACTTTTGAGACCCACTTTACAGGTTATGTTTTTGAAAGTTCATTTTAGGAAATAGTAATTTGTGTTTCTTTGTATCAGTGTTATTATGTGCTTTCCTTTTCATTATTTTTAGTTCAAGTTAGAGTTTTGCTTGACTTGAGCTTGGGTACTTTGAATTAATTGTTAACCTTGTGTATCAAATGTGGCTGAAGCATATTACACTGAATTTCTATTACGGCATTTAGTATTCTAAATCTTACCTCTTTATTTAAAACATGTTTTAAATTTTAGATTTAGAATATTAAACTTGGTCCAATGGGTACTTTGTTTAAATAAGTTACAAAACCCAGACATTGCCAGGTGGTAGTGTACACACCTTTGATCCCAGCACTCAGGCAGGATGATCTCTGTGAGTTCCAGGTCAGACTGGTCTATAGAGCTAGTTTAGAACAGCCAGAGCTACACAGAGAAACCCTGTCTCAAAAAATCTTAATAAACAAAAAGAAAGAAAACAACATGCATATCTAAAAAATTTAATGCACCTTACCTCACACTTTTCTTTTTCTTCAGGATCCAGAAGTCATGGTGGCTTTCCAGGATGTGGCCCAGAACCCAGCAAATATGTCAAAATATCAGAGCAACCCAAAGGTTATGAATCTCATCAGTAAATTGTCAGCCAAGTTTGGAGGTCAAGCATAATGTCATAACAATGCTGAATGAAGAGCAGCTTAGCTCACTTACTGGAAGTTGCAATAATACAAACCAGTGTACCTCTGATCTCATCTGGAGAGCTGGGGTGCTTCGAAGAGAATCCCTTCCTTTCTGCATCAAATGCGACTGAAGCATTTTACAGTGGCTTGCCATTAGGGTCTTCATTCAGATAATGTTTTCCTATTAGGAATTGCAAACGTAAAACACTTTTCAACCTTAAACATATTTTTAAAAAATTTAGGGGTGTTAATTCCTACATTTTTCTTTACTAATCTTTTTGGGGTTTTCCCTTGAATTACTGGGCAAGGAAGCTGAATATGGTGGACTTACTGCTCTCATGAATGGAAATAAAGATTTGTTAGTGGGAAGCAAATAAAACCCATTTAAGTTGATTGAGTTGGACATATGGTTACTGAAGCATCTTGATTTGTCTTTTTTTGGTGTTTTATTTCAAAATGATCTATTTCAGTGAATCTATTGGGACCACCAGTATTTGGATCTGACCTGTGGGACTGAAGTGTTGGACAGAGCAGCAGCAAGTCCTAGGTCTTGTTTGGCCTTGTGTAAGCTGCATTTAAATCTTACACTGTGCTGCAGGGGCGATTTTTAGTATTTTTTAAGCATTACAGTGGACTTACAATATTTAGTTCTGCCATTGTCTACTGTTTGAAGTAAATGTTCCATGTCATTCCCATATAGAGGAAAAAATGCTTTCTATGTTTGTCAAAAATTACCTTTCCTATTAGAAATACATGTCTGCTTGTTCTCCTTAATCTAAAGATAGTGACTTTTCCCTAACATCCTCACTTCTATCACTCACAGCATAATTGTGGAAGCATATTTATTGCTAGTTAAATTTCATGTATAGCACATAGGGTAATTGCAGGACCATACCTGTAATAGCTGTGGTGTCTTACTTGGCCATGGGGTTGCTTGATTAAATATTAAACTTTTACACTTGTGAACTCCTATCATATCAGAAGTCATTGGAAAGAAGAATTCCCTTTGGTTTTAGATATGCTTATGAAATTGAGAAACAATTTCAATTTTAGAGTTCATGTTGAAGTATACATCTTTGTATTTGGAAGAGTTTGTTTACATATGATGAAAGATTCATTTGTCCTATTTAGCTCTTAAATAGTTCAATGTATTTAGTGCCTGTTTTCTGTCCTTCCTTCTGTTGCAAGGATAAAGAAAACGATAAATCCCGAGTGCATATTTAAATCAGCATATATCTGAAATCATATGCTCATGTAGATGTAGCTGCTTCATACAGCAGACACTGATGCATCGTGTTACATGGGAGAAAGAGCTGTATTGGAGCAGAGCATGCGTTTAAGTCCTTGACAAACACCACATATTCTTAAATTTGAACTTTGCACGGTGTTCTTTTTACCCAAGTGTGTTCTCCTTTCATAGTTTTTATGGTATACTGTGTGTTATTACTGAAGATCAGCTTCTCTTGGACTCTGGCTATATAAGACCTAATTATATTCTAATATTGCAAATATTACCATAAATGGGTGAAAATGCTCTTCTGAAAACTGTCCTTTGCTTTTAGACTTCTGAGTTCCACAGATAAAAAACAAATAGTTTTTTTTCATAAAGACTCAGTATCATTTCTACACCAGAATTTTTTTTTCTCCACTAAAGATACTATAAGGAAAATACTATAAGAAGATAAAAGGTTTTCTGCTTAAAGATATGTGGTTAATACCCTAAAATGCTAAAATAAAATATGGTTTCAAACTGAATGTTGACCTTCCCCATTTCTTAGCATGGTATGTTTTTGTTGTTGTTGCAGTAATCACTGAAGTTATGTAAGCTACAGTGGCCTATGGATTGCTAAATGTTAATAGAGACACATAGTTGAGTATAGTGGTTCACACATATCCCAGCACTTGAGGGGTGAGGGAGGAGTCTGAGTTTGAGGCCAATCTGGACTGTATAGCAAGACTTAAAAACTGGAGAACCACCTCACACTCACCTAAATTCAGAGGTTTACTTTCTTTGGGTAACTTTATAGAAGTTAGCAGTTCTGTCATATATTGAAGTAAGTAACTTGTATGTGGGTCCAGAGAAGTTACTCTAATGTCTTCTTAATACCTGAGGAAAAAGGAGGCATGGTCAGATGCAAATGTGGACATGCTGATGATACATGGCACTAGCACTGTTTTCAAATCCCAGTGGAGACAGCTTCATAAGGAAGAAACGGCTTGTTCTAGAAATTGACTCACCCTAAAGTTACTGAACCTGAGTTAAACACATCACACCAGTAGAACCTGTTTCCAGGCACTGTTGTAGTAAGTTTCTCTGGTGATGCCGTAATCCTAATGGGACAAGGTAAGTACCTTCATTGCTTTGCAGTTTTATAGATGAAGAAACTGAAGCGCTTTGACAGTGCTCAGTCTAACATTTGTGCAGCAAGGATCTTCACAGATATAATTCTGTCTTCCCAGCTCTAGAGAAGTTTATGTTTGTGGGCCCATGTGTGCACTCAAACTGTGCAACTTTGGCTTGAAACAGAAACTCATTGTGTAGACCAGGCTGCCCATAAAGCCTGCCTTAGGTGTTGAGATCAAAGGCATGCACCACTGTGCCTGGCTATTATGGGTTTTTTTGTTGTTTTTGTTTTTTGTTTGGTGGTGGTGCCTTGGGCTTTTGCTGTGTAACCCAGGCTGGTGCCTGAATTCTTATCTTTGCCTCAGCCTCCCAACTACTAGTGTTAGGACAATAGTTGTGTCAGCATGCCTGACTGCTGCTTTAAGAAATAGGTTGTTGCAGTACTGGCTTTAAAGATGCATGCTGCATCTTTAAAGCTAGTACTCAGGAGACAGGCAGTCAGATCTGAGTTCTAGACTAGCTTTTTCTACAGTGAGTTACAGGACAGCAAAGGCCACACAGAGAAACCCTGTCTAGGGGTGAGTGGGGTGTGTGGAGAAGTTGAAAGCTAAAGTGGCCATTGGAATGAATGGTAGAATAAAAAGTGTCCAGTTATATGTGCTGAATACAACGTGACTATTCTCTGGATAGTAAAGGGCAGCGTACTTGAAGTTCTTGGTCTTTTTAAACGTAAGGTGTAATTCTAACCAGCAAGCACATGCAACTAAGAAGTCTGTGGTTGGGGCTGGAGAAACGGCCCAACGGCACATACTGCAAAGGATCTGTGTTCAGTTCCCAGGGTCTAACCCGTGTTGGCGAGTCCAAGACTTCATGTGATTCCAGCTCCAAATGCACCGCACTAACGTGCACAGATAAAAATATGGGTTGGGTTGAAGGGGAAAACCTACAACAATGGCAAGTTTTGCAAGTTTGGACAATTTGAGACTTTGTATTGTGTCACAGTGGAAACTAAAATAGCCATTTTTCAGATTTATTTTTAATGTGCATGAGTGCTTGCATTTACATAAGTGCATCTGATGGCCTCATAAGACAAGACCGGTTTCCCTCTGGAACTGGATTACAGAGGGTTGTGCGGATCCTTTGCAACATTCTTAGCCACTGAGCCATCTATCCAACCTCAAAGTCTCAGTTGAAGCAAACAGGCCTCTTGCTAGAGCCATTGCCTACCGTGCCTCACTCCTAGATTCCATCTCCAGTGGGCAGGGTTGGTGATGGGGTGTTGGAGATGGCCGGATGATGAAGACACAAAGGATGAAGCTGTTGACCTGTCCCTGTCTTAGCTGTGGAGGTCAGATTCCCTGGAACTGTAGTCTGTAGCCACCATGTACATGCTGGGAACTAAAGACGGCTCTTCTGTAATGAGCTCCTCTGCAAGAGCAGTAGAGGGTTTTGTTGGTTTGGTTTTTTGACACAGGGTTTCTCTGTGTGGCTTTGTAAACCAGGCTGACCTCGAACTCACAGATCCGCCTGTCTCTACCTCTCAAGTGTTGAGATTTTAGGCATGTGCAGTAGAGTTTTTAATAGAAGCAGCCCTCCTGTCTCTTGATGCTCTTTCCACTTGCTGGGTGCTGGAATTACAGGTGTCTGTGGAGTGCTGAGCAAGTACTCTTACAACTGAGCCACGTCCTCGGGCTGCCGGCATGCACTCTGGTGAATAGAGGTCATTAGGGGCTTTTTTTGTCCCGTGTTTTCTGTCAACAGGCATGACTGACCATGTTAGCTTGCAAACAGACAGAGGAGCCAGGAACCCGTGCAGTTGGCGCTCTGGGAGTCACCTAGCATCGTCCCGCCCCTTGCTCTCCCCGGACCAATGGGTGTTCAGGGACGTTCCTGGGTCCTCCAAACCCACGTCCGCGGCTGTTCTCCAGGCGACTGAGGGCAGCTTTGTGACCCGGAAGTACTTGTGGTGGAGGCGGGCACGTCTGAGAGGTGGGGCTTGAGACGCTCCTTTCAGGAGTCCTCCCTGCGGCTGAGGGCAAAGTGTGGCGCTATGGCCTCTGTGTTGTCCTACGAGAGCCTGGTTCACGCCGTGGCCGGAGCGGTGGTGAGGAGGGGTTTGGGGCTTTTCGAAGTCAGTCCCGGGATGGGGCTCGGAGATGGGCGCCAGGGAAACGTGGGGGCTGAGTCTCTCACGACCCGGGCAAGGGCGTAAACAGAAAGTTGCTTCAAGAGTGAGGGTGAGGCCAGCACCCACCATCCCGGCCCCGGCCGCGCTCTCCCAGAGCAGTCTGGACTGGCTCTCAGAAATGTTCAGAGGGAATAGGAAGACAGATCCTGTTTTCCTCGCCATCCCTCTACCCCAGCCTCCCTGCACACAAACTTCGTTTAACTGGTCCTGAGGAGAAACTAGGTGTAAAGCTGGGTGCTTAATGTAAGCCTGACAGCCTGTTGTCACTCCTTACTACAGGCAAGTGGCAATAGATGGTAGACTATCTCTGATCAACATTATTGCCAGGAAAAAGTAGGGTGTTTCTGTTGATTTTAAAAATCAGGATCGCTGTCACCCACTACATGTGTAGTGACTATGAGTTAAGTACTCGATTTTTGGACATAAATGTCCGAGTTCCTTCCATTTGACACCCTTTTTCCTTGCAACTTTACATTCTTGGCACGAGTAATGTTCCTCTTCTGGTTCTCTTCCTCAGACTGTTTCTCATGTCCTTCCCTAACTTCCAACCAACATTTACCCTTAGCCTCTTAGAATCGCGGTGGACCATTACTGAACGCCCCGGCCCCCAAATTGATTCAGGGACCGCTCATGTTCTGTAAAGAGGAATCTTGAGATTTTGAATTCCAGTTCTGTCATTTATTTACTAGGTACTCTCAAATCTCTCATTTGTAATCTGCAAAAAGACTTAGGTGTGGGACTATTACATGAAGTGTCTTATTCAAGAAGCCTCCTTCACTCAAATCAACGAGAAGAGCCTTTCTCACGTGGAGAGAGAACTGGGCAGGAAGTTTGTTTGACATGTTTTCAGTTGGCCACAGA